AGAACATCTGATCGTTCTAAAATTCTGGAGATCTTTGGAATGACATGAACATTTTTAGTATCAAGTTCCTGGGTATCCTCCATGAGGAAGATAAATAATTGCAAATGTCTTAATATGGATTACTTATGAATTACCCAACATAGTTGTAAGTACAAACCACAGGACCCCAATGATCTTAGTGAGCTTTCTATGCTTCCCAGCAATGGCAGTGTTCTGAATGCCAATCAGAGGATACAATATGCTCAAATCTATGATAGGTAGTGGCAGAACTTTCAGCATGTCTCACCACCATAAGCATATGCTCCCAGCAACGTCTCATCCCTTCACATTAGATTTTCATTTCAGCTGCATATTTTCCCCCAACAATATATCCCCGGTTCAGCAATCTCTCTTCCAAAAGAATACGTCTTTTCAGAGCAGTGTACCCTCTATGCCAATGATCAGCTAGTATCCTTTGCTGACTGGCAATGTACTATACATTTCATCATCTCGGTTATTATCCATGTTAGCCAGTCTGAAAGTAGGAAAATTTTCCCTCACTCCTGAGTGGTCATCAGAACAGGAAGTGAGGGAAAATAACCTCAATGGACAGAAAGAAAGAAAAAAATGAAATCTTAACTGAACTAAAAAAAAATCAGCTGGAGTTAAAAGGAAATTGTAACCCCTTTTAGACTGTTTTTACACTGAGAATGTTACATGTGAATCTGTGAAGGCAATAAATAATAAAAAAAAAACACTCCTGGGGGATATAAAGTGCAAAAGGGTGAAGAGTTTGGAGAAGGCAGGAGAAGTGAAAAATCTAGGACAACAAAGCTGATTTGGAAAAACTCTTCACCCTTTTGTGAATAGCACTGTATATCATGGAAAGTCCTGTTTTTTTCCCAAGTTAAAGAGGAGCTCCAAAAGCAGTACTGAGAATCTGTACTACACCTAGTCTACATGTCTATAATTTCCTTTTCTTTTGTCTTATTTATTCAGCAGTTGTGTTTACAAATGATAATGCTAAAATTAAAAAAATATAATTTTCTAATGTACTGTGTAACATAACATGAATTTTACTATATTTTATAGCTACATACCGTAATGAATATACTCGCCCATAAATAGTGGTCTGCCTCCAACAAACTGACAGTAAAAACATAAGCAGGTGCTGGTTCCATGTAACCGTGTTTTGGTAAAGTACCATCTAGTTATGTAGGGAATGACTTGTACAGCTGCTGTCTCTACGTTGGTAGTAGGGACATTTTAGCAGCAGAAGAGTGTCAATGTGCAAACACTGATCTCCCTGCACCTAAAGATGACCTCCTATAATAGTGATACATAACAATCTGACAGCTGACAAGCGGACATAGGACAGTCTGTTCATCATACTGGCATTGAGTGTGCATGTGTGAATCCTCTTACTTACAGTATGTGTAGTGATGAATTTATGAAAGTGAAAAGGGGAGATTGGATTGTGATGGGGGGGAAATAACTATATCCCACGATTTATCTGGACTGGAAGGTTACTTTTGTGCTGACCTGACAAAAATTATAATTTTTTAAGCTCTAAATTCTTCTAAATGCAAACCACTCTAAAACCAGCTAAATGTCACCTCCTGAAAGCCATGAGCACCAAGGCAAAATGAGTGCCATGACAAAATGGTATTACTGCTGCCTGGCATGGTAATGTCATTCTGAACATGCTATAGATGTACAGTAAGGTCTGCTAATTCCTTACAGACACCCTACCTGCCACCAAATGAGATTTACAACCCAACTAGCTTTGACATGTGCACTATCTTAGTGTTTCAGGCTCATCCTTTAGTGGCCAGTATCAGCCTGTGAAGCTCTTCCCTGTACAGCACAGCAGAATGTTTTGAATTATATTCACATATGTACCAAGCAAAAATTTCAGCAACTGCCACCTTCCTGACCACAAAGCATTCCTTATTGGTTAAATGCAGCTCCTAACGCTCTCACATGCAACATGGGAGCTCTCCCTTGTAACTCTCCATTTACATTGGACTGCCTGATAACACACCTGCCTGTCCATCATTAACCATCACTAGCAAGAATGTTTTACATTCTTAAAAACGATGGCAATAGATGCCAGACAGCAAAATCTCCTGTCCTACCAAGCCATCTGTCTACTGCATAATTACAATACATTACCATTTCAGGGGTGCGCTTATTGGGGCAATGTCAGATTGAATGTATTTTATATTTACCATAAAAATCCAAAAGAGCGGCCCTAAAGTGACACAAAACTCAGGAGTTAAACCTTAAAAATGCATTCAAGTACTTTACCTATTAACAGAAATGTATCTTATTTGTGTATCACTCGGCTGTAGATCCTCAAATCATCTCTGAATTGGTGCTGACAATGTCCTTCCTTCTGGAGGGTGGCTACTTTTATTCCCTATGGTCCTTGGGCGTGTTGTAAAGTATCCACCGCTCCAAGCTCACTCCCATGATGGACTATAATCTCATGTTTAGTTTACTAATTTGTATTGAAGTTATAGTCTATCACAGGAGCGAGCTGTAAGTGTCTGAGACCATTTCTGTCTCAGCTGGTGCCTTTTCTCATACCAATCACTCAGCTTTTATCTTTCATTTTTCCACACAACTTAAATAAAAATGTAAAAGCTGAGACAACGTTTGTCTCGGACACTTTTTTTCCCCCCAAAATATTTGATGCAAGAGTGTCTGCATGACAGTCAAGACACTAACACTTTCAGAAGGAGAGCTCAGCAATGGCAGACTCCTTGTTTCTCTCATGACAAGTTTTCTTCAACTGTTGTGTTGAATTGATTCGTTTTTTCAAGTTAATCTGTATTGAATGAAATGACTTGGTAAAGTCCATAACAATGCAGAGAAGGTTACACAGGAGGCAAGTGTATAAAATGTAGAAGTCTGTGTTGAGTGACATTTGGAAGGGCGGTGGGATGTATACCATAGAATTCACACTACAGAACTTGTGTTAGTTTTATTATGGCCACCTACTCCATAGAAGAAATAAGGAATAGTGTAACACGGTTTGTACTAGAGGTATCTGCACAGTAGATGAACATGTATCCATACGCTGAGGGGAGAGAACAAACGGGGATAAGTAATGTAACACAAGTGTGTTGTTTTTGCACACAGAACGGAAGGCATACAGAACACAAAACACGGTAACAAGTATGTAATGTACACTGCATGCCAGGGTGCAAGAGAATATGGTGATAACGTCTAGAGGGTATAGTTTGCAGCAGTGTCCCCCCCCCCCCTTGGTGTGGTGGTATGGGTTACCCAACATCTAGCCTCCCTTGTGTACACTGTTGACGGTGACCTCTAATTGTGCAGAAATGTTTTCCTAAGAAATCATTTATATCTATGAATAATTGAAATATTTATTGACATCTGCAATCTATAGGATTTATTCTTCGCTAAAACTATCAACTTCAAGGATTGAATTACTGTGAAAGCAAAGTTATTATCAGCACTTAACTCCTTTGTGGAAGGTTTAGTGTCATTTCCTGAAAACCTTCAATACAAGATTAGACCTGTTTACAGCGTTTTGCAATCCCCTACATTGGTCATTTGGGTCCCTATTGGGATGTTTTCAAACATGTAACAAAACACTTTCATTATTTTAAACCTATCAAATATGTTTCCTAAACATTTTAGCCAGTATTGTGGTATGCTCCAACTGTACAGTTGGTCCAAGTAAAGGACTCAAAAATATTAAGCAAGTGGATCAGCATGACACACTGGGATTGGTTTACTATTGGAGTAGAGCATGTTCAACTTGCAAAGTGAATGTTCACTTAGCAATCACGTGCAAGCAAAAAAAAAAATCAAGATTTTTGCTTGCACGTGTTTGCATGATTTAAGTGAACAACCGTTAGTAAATGAACCCCATTGTCTAATATCTGAAACTCGATTGATAGACTTGCTTAGTAAGTGGCCTCGAGATACCCACCACAGACTTTCTGTAACTGGGGGGAAACAAAGTATTTTTGCTTGCATGTGATTGGATAATTGAAGTCAGCAGAGGTTCACCTTATTCACTAAGGCTCTGTTCACACCTAGGCGTATCGAATAAATGCGCGTTTCGTGACGTGCGTTTTTACCACGATTCGCTGTAAAAAACCGCGCGACAAACGCGCGTTTCCAAGGGCTACTTGGCCGTATCCCAATGGAAACGCGCGTCAAAAACGCCGCAAAGAAGCTCATGTACCTTTTCAGACGTAGGCATTTGTAGCGCGTTCAGGCGGGCTGAAATACGGCAAGGTGTGAACCATACCCATAGAAAACAATATGATTTTCATGTTTGAGCGTTTTGTAGAGCGTTCGTAGAGCGTTGAACGCGCTACAAAATGTACAGGTGTGAACCAGGCCTAAACTAAATCAAAATGACCTTTGCAAAGTAAACAAACTATGTTCCTTTAGTGAATAAACCCCATTGTACACAAACCCCTTAGATGACTGACCCATTCAAGAGTCAATGGTTGTTTTTGTTCCCATTACATAATTCTACATTATATATTTAATAACATAAAAGGGAATGTTTATAAAGTAGTGAATCTGGCCTTCACCAAATATTCACTACAAGGTGCATGTGTTTTAAATGTGAATACATTACTAGTGAATATTTTGGGGTGAAAGTCATATTCAACGTTTATAAATATGCCCCCAAGTGTAAGCTGATAATAAACTCATGGGAAACGACATTTCCGCCCAAAGCTCACATGACATTTTTTACAGAATTTAGCCATCTTGTTACTCCCACAAACACTCACACTGCCTGGTATCTGCTGCAGAAAAGAGTACTGTGTGAGGCCAGAAGTACCCCTCACTATAGAACCAGCCGGGCGCCATGTACGATTCCAGCCAAGGTACAGATGTCATAAATACAAGGTGATTGATTTGCACTATTTAGTGACCTTTGGTTACCTTAGACATTAGTCATAGATCATTGAATGTGGCTTATATCTTATCTTTCAACAGGCTTTGTCATATAATTGTCAAATAATAATGACATCTATAACAACACTCCAGTAGTAGATACGGGTATGGTTATTTTGTTTCAATGCTGGCATGGATAGCACGCTGACATGCGGAAAGCCAAGTGACCTTCTCCTCTTCTGTTTGTGTGAAACAAATCCACCTCCGTTTGGGTCCTTGTAGAACAAACGCATTCTTCACATCTATAGATTTAGAAATGACAGTTAAATACAATAAGAATCATACTAATGGTGCCGGACTCACTGTTAATATTATGTAAGTCACATATTGCTTAATCTGATTTCATTGCACACAGAGAGCTTCTCATGATGTGCATCAGAAGTTGGAGCAAGTCAGATAGAGCCCACCTCATTTCCTGGCTGGAGCAATGACCCGTGCACCAGATTTTGGTGTTCTTAGGGCATTCTAGAATTAAAGGAAAACTTGGTTCCTTCAGGTGTTTAGTACATAGTCCAGGGTTCATACCTAATATGTAGTTTGAAGACGCCATCGGTTTGCTTTAAAGAAATCCTGTACTGACAAACATGGAGGCTACCATTGCTGACCACCTTTTAAAAATGCTAGTTGCCTGTCTGCCTCTGGCTGCAATATTTTCGGACTCACTGGCCAACAACATGACATGTAGAAAGTCAAAGTGAATCTCTGGATCTGCTTATTTGTTTTGACGTGGTGAAATTATTAACCCTTCCACTGCTTCTTATTTTGCACCTCAGGTGGCCGGACGAATCATACATTTTCTGAAAATAGAATTGACAGATGGTACTGCTCATTGTGTACTTCCTATAAATAGTTGCTTTATATTTGCTACGGTGGAGGCAGTGGCATAACAATTACCAAAGCGACCCAGGTGCACACTATGGGGCACAGAGGGGCCGGCCGGGACATTCCTGATGCCCTGCTGGGCCGCTATGGCATCTCACGCCGCTGGCTGTCACTGGCGGCTGTGAAGAGGAACACACCGCTTTTCAGATCACTGACAGTGATCTGTGCAGCGGCGTGTTCCTCTCCACAGCCGCTGCTGAGTCAATGAGAGCCAGCAGCGACGGTGGAGCAGGCTGGACCCAGCAGTGGAGGACGAGGCAAGGCCAGGGGGTTGGCATTAAAGGAGGAGGCGGGGCTCAGGTAAGGAGTGTGACCCTGCAGAGCCCACCTTAGAGTGTCTATGGTGGGCTCTGCAGGGTCACCCTCAGGTGAGCTGTGTGGGATCTCAATTGGGCTCTGCAAGGGGTGTAACTAGAGATCAAAGGGGCCCTGTGATTTCTAGTTACGCCCCTGGGTGGAGGTCACCAATGGCAGCCTCCATTTTCTCTATTTACAGGTTTTCTTTAGGTAACAGCCGGTTAGAGAAGAATGCCTTTGTAGAATGAAAGACTTTTATGTTCTTTACATTTTCCTCACAGACAGAATTCAGTTGTATGTGTGAACCTACATTTAGTATCTGGAATGTCTTCCACCAGCAATCGCCCTAAAGAGACTGAAGCCATAAACTGGTACGAGGTTGATGGTACATGCTTGAATGGGGTATAGGAAATATGACAACTGGATATCACCAGTGCATCATTGAAGAGAAAAAGACACAGGTCACTGATGTGCTCATAGATCCTGGGGAAACAAAGGAAAGAAAGTCACCTTTTATCAGAAAAGATTGTTTCATTCATTTGATAGTGGCTAAGTCACTGATACCCAGATATTGGAGAGGACAAACTACCCACACTCAGAGAATGAAAAAAGCATATGTCTGATTACGTTAACCCCTACCAGTCTGCCATCTGTATATAAATGTTTTCCCAGCATGTGCTCAGAGGTAGGAGACATGTAAATAATAACGTTTGAAGTCATTTAAAAGCCTTTGTATGTCCCTCTGAACTATTGTGTGGTTTACCAGTGCATACTGAAAGGCCTGGAAAAATTATACTATATGGAAAAGAATACTACTGATCTATATATACATACCATACATTATTCTCATAGATTATTACCTCAGGGATGCACTTATGTCTTCATTAGCAGATTTGAGCAGAGCCACATCTTGTTTGCAAATGAGATGTCTGTTAGCTTCTATTAGATTCTAAAATAAAGAGCAGCAGCATTTTATGTTCATTTTTACAAAATATTAGATAAAATTAAAAGACCATTACTTCAATAATGGATCCACACCACTTCCACTACATTTAGTGCACGTTGCCGCCCTAATTACAATTGACATGCATTTACATCTGTTTTCTATGCCTTGCATTGTGGTAAAGTGCATTTGTTTGTGTTGCGTTTTGTGTACGTTTCTTTCCTTAATGCGTATTGCTGTGATGTGCTTAAACTAACCAAGTTCCATTTTTACCCAGCGCCAATGAAACACGTTGATGTCAACTGAGAGAGGTGAAACAATGAATTTGCATTTTGCCTGCACTAAACAACACAGCCCGCCCGGTGTAAATAGGCCCTAATACACACCATAGGGTCATTGCTGTAAAATGCTGCAAGGAGTTGCGATAATATCCAAGGAGCAGTAACCCAAAATGACCCATCAGCTTTCATCTTTTAACAGTATAGTTGTAAGTATAATAAAAGTTGACCGCAGCATATGGTTACTGCATTTTGACCTGGCTCACTGCTTTCCTGAGGCCTCATTGCCAGAAGAAGGATTGTGGGATGGTTAAGGGGAGAGAAGCAGAGAAACAAATAGTTTTACTGTCCTTTCCATCATAAATCATCAGTTCCATTTCAAAATCTGGAGCAGCTGTGCATGGCAGCCAATCAGCTTTTCTCTTTCATTTTTAAATCTTAACTGAACAAACTAAAGAGAGAAGCCGCTTGGTTGCCATGGGCAACTGCTCCAGATTTTGTTTGCTCCAGTTTTGAGAAATGCCCCCCAATGTGTTTTGGTGCTGCATTTCTTTCTGTAACATGCTAGGAATTCTGCAAAGGATAAGACTTTAGCCTTTTTTCAGAATCACGTCATAAAGGAAACCTACAAGCCTTACCAGGTTTTTTATACTTCTTGCTCATTTCCCTGCAATATTAACCAACAAGCGGCTTGTTCCAGAACATGAGACTAGGAGGTCACATGACCACTGTAAATTGGGGGCTGTCTCTGCCAACTTCATCTTTTTACAGATTTCACAAGACATTTCCCTTCTCCCTCACTTTACTTTGGCTTTGTTAATACATTGGCAGTTGATGGGCAAGGGGGGGGAGGGGGGAGGGCAGAACTGCTGATAGGTAGGTGTTACAGATGTCTTTGTAGTAGAGTAACTGGTTGTTTAACAGCAATATTGTTATTTGCCATAAGGCATTTTAATTACAGCAAATCATATTATTTGTGCTAAATAATGATTGGCGTGGCAAACAATACATTTATTATAGTTTGTGAATTGTCCAATTGGCTAGAGGACAGCAGGGTAGCAAGGGAATAAGTCGTAGTCCACCAAAGTATACATAAAATCTAAAGAAACTGTCACCAACTAAAAAAAACTGCAGGCAAAAGCACAGAAAAGTCAAATATTTCCTTTCCATAAATTATTATTTATTCACTTGCAATGTGCTTTTGAACTTGCCAAACATTTTGACTACTCCAGGAAAAGTAAATTCCCATTTACACCCCCTCCCTCCTTGCACGCATGCCAAGAGTGTCAAATTACTTTCTGTGCTGGTCCAGCTCCTCCACCACATCCCTTACCTCCATACATAAGCTTATACATAGCTGCCAGGGGATAATCAAAGAGGAATACTTTACAGTGACATTTGAGTGACAGCTACATGCATACAATTCAATAAATACACATATACAGTAATCTTATGGGAAGGTTATTGGTGAGATAAAAGGTCTCTTTAAATAAATGGTCGTAGATGGTTACAGCATGACTGAAGAGAAGAAGTTCAGTTCTGCTATCACCAGAGGTAAGATTTTTACCTGACCTCATGGAAGGGGCCATCCTATGTGTAGAAAGACACAAAAGAACTTAGATAAATTTGCAGTTCTACAATGCCAACTTACGGGACAGCCTCGGATGGTCTTCTGTAGATGTGTCAGCTCTGTGTCCTTTTCTAAGGTGGATTTCACCTGTTAAAATGTCATTATTAGTGAAAATGTGTTTCATGTAGAACTGAAACCAAAACTTAATTTTTAGTTTAGAGTATAAAAGGTTGGTAACTGTCAGCTTGGTACTGCTGTCTATGTAACTGTGGGAAGGACTCCCCCTGTCCTATAGACACCATCATTGCCTCCAGGACAGGACAAGAGGGCAAATCTCCCACAGAGATACTACCCCTACATCAGGGGCGTAACTAGAAATCACAGGGCGCCATAGCAAAATTTTGTATGGGGCCCCGTGATTGCTAGTTATGCCACTTGCAGAGCCACAGCGGCTGGCTGTCACTGACACAGCTCCGCAGCAGCTGTGAGGGAAAATGCGCCGTGGCCGCTGCTGAGCTGTCTGTGACAGCCAGCACCCCAACATTACATAGCGACCCAGGCGGCCCTGGCCGGGCCCCATAGCGGCCGCCTGGGTCGCTATGGCGATTGTTACGCCACTGCCCTACATACATACGCATGCATAATGCTGTGTTGCTGATGGAAGAATACTTTGTTCATGGTTCTATCACAAGAACATGTGTATCAGACCAAAGGTTTTATTCTATTTAAATTGGTCAATTGTGTTTGAACTAAAGAACCAGCAGTAAAATGTCTAACAGACCTTCAAAAGCCAGTTGCCCATGCACTTTATGATCACTGATTTCTTATAATGGGTAATCAATACTTGTTTGATAATTATATACAGTACTTACTATTGGACAAAATAAAAAAATAAATAAAAAAGCCATAATGCAATAAATCGCTGAACTATACGACTATATTAAAGGCTGCAGGTGCCGAAAAGTACTTGTTGATCCACCGGAAATCCAGTGAGTTCCTAATCTACTAAGCACTCTGACTGTGCTGCACTGAAATGTCAAACAATGTTATAAGCCCTGCCCAATTCATCTCTGTGAACTACAGAACACTCCCACAGTATCAATACACCACGGTGTCGCTCCAGGTCGGTTAACGCTTGCATGCCACAGTCAGGTGCTCGTCACTGGTAATACTGTTGCAGAAAAAGTGGATAATGGTACACCGACATATTCCAAAAGCTACTCATCCATACAAACAGATTTTTCCAACAAACAGGAGCTTTGTCATCGAGATGAATTAATCAAACCAAGCAGACAGAATCTGAAGCAGCTGTGCATGGCAACCAATCAGCTTTTCTCTTTCATTTTCAAAGCTTAATTGAACAAACTGAAGAGAGAAGCTGATTGGTTACTATGGGCAACTGCTCCAGTTTTGATAAATTCCCTCCATAGAATTTTAGAAGAAATTAGAAATAATGCTTAATCATAGAATTTAGAAATAGAATCATTCTATGAGTAAGCACTTGTGTGTATGAAACATGTTAGAATTTCCTGTTCATCTGTGTAATTGATTTTATAAAGCAATAAAGAAACTGCTTTTGGAATATGCCATTGTGTCACTATTCACTTTTTCTGCTACAGAACACTGCCCATGGTTTTGTGATGAGCAGAGGGAGGTATTCCTTCCGTAATCCAAATTAGGAAAAAAGCAGCCTGGTGTGACAACAGTGCTCCTCCATAGACATAGTACAGTGGATGGGCATTGTCACCCTAGGACAGGAAGTGTGTTACAGTCAGAATCACCAAGTGAAAATAAAGGAGAAATGCCTGAAAAGGAAACTAATGCAGCCATTATATCTAAGGACTGGTAGGCTGCAATATATATATAATTTTGTTGTTGGGTTAGATAGATAAACTGTAATTCAATTTTGCAGAAAATATTACCCAATACTGAAACGTGAGAGAATCAGTATGCATCAAAAATTACCAACCCGCAAAATGAAATCCTTGTACTGCTTCATCTCTGTAATAGCTGTGCTTAAATCATTGCGATCTGGATGCTCTGGAGGAGTATGAAGGCGAAGAGCATACAAAAGGTTCACATACTCTTCAAATCGAGCAGCCGGGAATAACAGCAATTCCTGTAAACTAAAGGAAAATAGACAAATATCCCATTACAATATTAAGGTCTAGTTACAATCCACTGATTCTGGTTGCAATGCTTTCCTGGCTCCATTGCAAAAAAGTATGAAATGCACATTTGAATGACACCCTATAAGAAGCCCAGCTCATGGGACAACAACTTAAGCACCAGCACACTGAGGGTGATTGACACTGCAGTTAACCCTTTACATACACACATGGTAGCCTTCATCACACATTTTAAAGGAAATATGCACCAGGTCAAATTGCTGTTGCAATTTGACCTTTAAGGAATGTCTGCATCACTGACGCACCCAGACAGGAATGTACGTGTTTGTATTACAGTAGCTCTTCACAGAGGTGTCGTTTTTAATTTGTAGTTACAGAACTCAGAGATTTAGTTTAACTATTTTCAAATATTGTTTTAATTAAAAGAAAAATGGTGCAGAAAAAATACATAAAATATATTACAAAACAGACATAAGCAACAGTAAAGTAAAAGGGTTTTAAAAGTGAAACAATACTTAAGTTCAGTTCAGAGATCAGATTGCTTGTAAAGTATGTCCAAACTGATGAGCAAGAATCACTGACCCACTTAACGTGATTCTCTGTATTCCTAATTGCAATGGTAAAATGAGAGCACCGGTTACTAAATGCAACCATCTTTTCTTGTCCCTGGAGAGTTCCTAGAGAGGGTAACACAGAGTCCGAGGGGTGTGGTATAGGAGTGCTGGAATATTTTAGATTGCTTCAGCGGACTCTCCCCTACTGCCAGCTATCCTGGGCATATCTTTATGTACAATATATGACAAGATTGTACAATCCAAAGACCAGCATATTATTAAACATAAAGAAATAAGGTTTTGTTTAATTCCAAATTTGCTATGGATCTGATTTACATTTCTCTTAGGTGTCCATGTAAACCTTGTAATATACGCGTGCTTAGTAGTGACTAACTGATTGGTGTTCCTATACATTAGTGTAACCACTTTTTTTTACTCCATTACAGTAAGAAGAAATATGAAGACTGTATGAAACTTTTTCAGTGCAGTTGCAGTTTCAGTGCAGTTCAAAGGTGTATTCCTGAGCTGTTCTGCAGACTGTTTAGGACTATTGAAGACAGAAAAATCTATGACAGGGCTTATTAGAAGTCTTTTGAAGACCCTCCAGTGGAGGTTTGTGATATCTCTGCATTCTGTCTTAGCTGACATGTGTTATGTCAAATGTTCACTGGTTGCCTAGAACAGACAGATTTAAATCTGACTTTTTTTGTTACTTAAAGCTGGGGAGAATGAGGGTGGCACTGTGTTCAGTAGTACTCCCACAATCTTTCAACACAGCTTAGGGCCATGCAATTTAATCATAAACACCCCCACCCACCTTTCCTGGATTACAATGATTGGCCACACGGGTTACAATAGGGGAAGATTCTCAGCACATCAGGGGCGTCATTTCTTAAGGCTCCCGCCTGCTTAAGTGTGATATGCTGAAGAAGGACTGACAACACACTCAGGAGCATTGTTTTAGACACCATAACCTTTTTGTTTGTTTTTTACAGAGAAGGTTGTAGATTTTTTTTTTAAAAACAATATATAAATGTAGTAATCTTATATGACTATACTTGATGCTTATACTTATACTCAGACCCAACAACTGGGGTCTGTTCATCAAGAATTAAAAACAACACAGGATTTACCATTTTCAATGCTGATATACATTAATGCTGTAACTGTTGATTGGATCACACCTAACCCTCCCTTAGCCCTATCTCTAATACTGCCATGCTAACATTCAATTAAGGAGAAAAGAGGACTACAATAGGGCTAGCAGAATACTGTTCTGAAAGAAATTTGTAGGCTGACATTAATGACCTTTCTTCCTGAAAATGTTTGTCTCTACTGGCTTAGAAATGTTCAGAGTCACTGGCCCAGAACAGTTAAGAGGATCAGGGGTTCCAAGTCAGTGAGTGTGGTGTCCGGCAGCTACCATTTTCAAAAAAACATCGGCCATGGCAGCCTACATCTTTCTCTCATAACAGCTGCCCTTTAAATGGAACACTCCTGAAATACAATAATTCTTACTAGAAGAAAGGAGATTACCTCCCTCATTGCCCTCTTTCTTCATAGCATTAGGTCTACCAGTATGTGACAGGTGCATTTTTACATTTACATTAATCAGAGCAGAAACATATTAAATCTATGGGTCATTTCATATGAGGTGTTGAGATAGAAGCAGAATCACAAACACTTGTTTTCCATTGGATTATTAGTCTGCTCGGTGTTACTGATTGAACATACACAATGGCCGTTTTTCTTCTGTGGAGTGCATAGTGTTTTTTTGTCACTAAATTTAGAATTTATACAATGAAATGAAAAGTACATCTCTTCTTTAAAAACAATCTGCTTACTTACCTCATCATTTTAGTTACAACAGTTTGATCATGTCTTTTCAAGAAAGCTCGGAAGGTTGGCGTAGCTTCTCTGCACTACAAATACATAAATCAGCTTTATATGTATTAAAACATAACATAATTGTACATATAAAGCATAGATACACAATCCTTGATGATAACACAATGACATTTCTTGTCTACAGACCACTCTAGCAGGTGATTCACACTGAAAGTGGATATATCTCAGAGCATTTATTGGGGTATTTTATTAGATAACTTGACTTTCTTGCAGCTGTTGCTCTACAGGGATGTTGACTGCACTTCCAAGCATGCAGATAGCCTCTAAAGTGAATACAGAAGGGGTCAGGGACTCAGGGGTGAGAGTTAGGGTAGGGAGTTGGTTTGAGCTGATGGGGCCAGAAATTAGAAGGCCATGTCTTGTTGCATCACAAATTGTTCCAGATGTGCTTCCTGCTGGGTATGGCTGTTTAGTGTGGTGCAGGCTTACATCTGTACATGTCAATGCTAAAGCACATGTACAGTAATTTATTTGGGATAATTTTTTTTTTAAATGGCGCAGATACCTGTCGCACATGAGAAACCAACACAGTGTTAACACTACACTGCCCAAAGCCCCCCTTTTCCCCCGGGGAATGTGCAGGGATTGCTCTGGGATAGAGATAGCAGCAGTAAATGCCATTTCAGGTTTCTGCTGTCTGTACTTGTGCAGTATGATCCCATAGTCTTCTATGGGGCCCGGAAAACAATCTGGTTTAGATCAGCATGGGTGGAGGGAAAGAGGGGGAGGGGAGTTGAGAAAACATTCAGAAAATGCTGTTTGAAAGTTTACTTAGTTGAATCAATGATAAGGAAATTATATATGTGTTTTTCTATTTATTGTATGATGATTTTAAACAATAAAGCATTCTTCTTATTAAACTCTGAAATGCTTTAACCCTTTCGCTGCCAAGCCCTCCGGAACATTTTTCAAATCAGCTGGCCAAGCCATTTTTGAATTTTCTGCAATTTGGGGGGGCGCCCGGTATTTTTAAAATTAGCGGTCATCAGCGGCTTGTGAGCCGCTTATGACAGCTATTAATTTAAAGGGGACAGTCTGCTGAACAGTTCTACTATAAGCTGATGGTCGCTAAAGCGACCATCAGCTTATAGTAGAACTGTAAATGCCAGGTCCGTACGACGTACTGAGCTGGCCAGCTGGAAGCACTTTTGTAGCTCCGTACGACGTACGTCCTTGGCAGCGAAAGGGTTAAAACATATTAGCCAAGATCTCAAACATAATTTTAAAAAAGGTCAGATTCAATAAGCTGGAAGTTCCCTAAAATATATGGAAAGTACTTATTGCCTTTTATTTTGGAAAGCCCCCTTCCTAAGTCCTCATAGTGTACACATCACGTGGCCAGCATTGCAGATCAAATATGAATATGTTGTTCCACTGTGGTGTGCTGCTGCATACAATTTAACATGTAGTGCATGAAGGTAGCCAGTTCATGAAGAATGTGAAATAAACCAGGCCTGTACCTTTTTTAATGCAGTGCACCATAACACAAGACACATGTGCTGCAGTGCATTTGGAATCTGCTGTGTTTGTGGATTGGGGTATCATTTTAAATAAAAGGCACCTCAACTTTAAGCACAGAGTGCCATGTGCTACCATGTATTGAGGTAATACAGTAGGTCTGAAGGGGGCTAAAGACTAACTACACTTTTAAAAAACCTAATTCTAATGACTTCTCCTCCCAATGCTAACTAAACCCCCTTGCACTTACCTTAGATCAACAGTCAGTGCGGTCAAGGAGCCTAGACCATGTTGGGTGGCACTCAGTCAGAGAAGCTTCCTTCCAGACTTACAAGTAGACAGCTTTTGCTTTGAAGAACCCAGTACCCTAATATTGCATTTCCTTGCCACCCAGCACCCCTGACTCTGAGCCTCCCTGACACTGTGCCCCAACACTGCACCTTTCTGCCAACCGGCAACTCTGCCAATGCATATTACATCACTGCTCCCCCTGTCCCTACTAACCCCATCACTGCTCCCACCTTGTCACCTTTGCAGGGACATGCAGAGAGGAGGAGAGGTGGAACCTGGAGATTCTGGGATCTCTGCCCACTCTGCATTTGACTTCACCTACTTCCTTCCCCCTCTGGTAACCACCTTCTCCACAGTACAGCGGGTAGATGCAGATCATCACCCAGATTTGCTTCAACAGCGGGATGACCTGGGAGAGGACCGTGTGTCTCCCGAGTTCTCTGGGTGAATTTGACAGCTATGGACTGGGCAACTATGCTTCTATGTTCAAGCTGTGCTGTGCACACTATGTGTGTCCCTGGGGGAAGGGAGTGAGATGCACACTTCCTAAAGGGAAACACTGAGACCGCCCACCACCTGCATTACAACTGAACTCTTTTCCAGGTCTGGCAGTCAGCTTTAAGAAACCTAACACCCAATTCTTTTACTCATGAAGGTAAGCATTTCATTGAAAATACAATGCCACTATGTATCACTCCTACACTACTCCACCTCATTTTATAATATATTGTACATACAATACAATATCCACATCAGGATGAAACTAAGAAACTCCATTTTACTTCCTGTATTCATCATGAGCATACCTTGTCAATTGTTTTTAGAATCACTGTGTAGTTGTTGAAAAAATTGGTGTATATCTTCAGCTTTGATCCAAATTTCATAAACACATCTCCCAAACATTGTGCGGGTCCCCATTCCTGAAGTCTGTCTATCAACTCATTTAAGAGCTGCCTGGAGCAGAAGAAGATGTATTTTGATACTATTTAGTATTTCCAACTGCAGCTTTAGCAAACATTAGGATGCGCACTATGCCTACATCTGTCTGATGGTGTAAAGGACACCTGAAAGAATGGAAGGGCTACCATTGCTGTCCATTCCTACTGCTAATGCTGATTCACTGGCTGTCCTGCTACTGCATTGCTTTCAATGCTTTATGGTTTACTGACCTGGGACAAGTATAGAAAAAGGGAACTCAGACACTTTTCTGAAACATTTAAAGCATGCACGTTATGGATCTGTGACTCAAAGTATTTAAGCCAGACAGCCAGGCAAGTATGTTTTAGAAAAAGATAATCAATGGCATCTTTAGTGCATCTTTCAGTCATTTTTATACTACTTATCTAAGCTATTCAGGAAGGTAACAGGCTGCTAACAAAGTACAGACTAGCTTATATAGAACAGTTGCATAAATATATAAAACATATCTCCAATAAAGCTGGTGTGGTAGGTAGTGATACTGCATGGGTAATCAACTTTGGTTTGGAAAGTAACGTCAGGGCCGGGTTTCCCACAAGGCCAACCGAGGCCCGGCCTTGGGGCAGCAGTGGTGTGGAATGCCTATCTCCCGATGCCCGGGACATGCAGTTCCAGGAGCTGGGCGAGTAGTTGTTTTCTAAATTTAGCCCTGCTTTGGGCAAGCAGGGCTATATGTACAGCGGGGAATCCGCCGCATATTTTGTACAAGTGATCATGGAGATGTCGCCAAGATCACTTGTATGCAGCCTGCATACAGGGGAGCGCATTGAGGAACCTGGCATTGGGGCAGCAGACAGAGTAAATCCGGCCCTGAGTAACGCCACAGACCAAAACTACCAAATGCCCTTTTTGTGCCATATTTTGCCTAAACTGGAAGTTAACAGAGAACAGGCTGCACATCAGGGTGTCAAACGTCTCAACTTCTGGGGTACAGATATTTTAGATCCAGAGGTACAAACATAAAAAAGTAAGACCTTACACATAATTTAATGTTTTTACTTCATATCTAGTCATCATTTAAGTTAAAGAATCAGCATCACCATATTGTTCTAGCTACTGTAAGGGAGTGCTTCTGCACACTGGCCAGCATAAAGGTAAATGGTCATGTGTCTGTAGATGACTATTCGAAAGACAGTGAGGAAAAGAAGTATAGATGACGGGTAACTGAACTGTATACTCATTAATAAGAGGCTAAATGGGTGACTAAGATGCATGCTGGTCACTAGTGGGTATCAACATATATTTAAATGAATGTCAATTCAGCTGGAACTCTCATTGTTTGATGTTGTTGGACCTCATCTTTGGAGCATAAAAATGATTTTCGCTAAATGATTTACTACAGTCGGCGGCACACAGTCTAGTATGATCCATAGGCACTTAACCCATAAGTGAAGATAATTTGCACTAAAGAGGGGATACCCTAAAGTACACACTGCAGTTACACTAACAACCAAATACCATTCATCTTTTGTTGTTCTACATATACTTTGCCGGGATCTAATGACAACATAACATACAGTAAGAACATGCACATACTTGTTGATTTGTAAAATATTGACAATATCAGAGAAGATGATTTGCATGTTAGAAATGCTCAGGATTGCACGATTTGATGACAGTGCTGACTTCAGTGGGGCGGCATAGATGTCTCTAATGATCTCCAGGACTTGTACATACTGCCTCTCACTCTCAAGGAGTTCTTGAGCAAACCTTGAACGTTTGTCTCCTACATCCACTAGAAGTTTATTATCCTGAGTATAAAACAAAGAAAAACATTTCAGACAGGGTTACTACAACTTTACCTTTGAGGTCAGAAGAACACGGGCATTGGGGTTGTAGATGAACATGATTTTCACAATCAACCTCACATACACTATCAAAGGTCCCATAAGTTTCAAAACTCAACGGAAACAATCACCATCATGAAGGACATTTGATTCTGAGGGAGGAGCCAAAGTCAAGGGAGATTGCTGTGTATAAATGACTCCTACATTTTCACTAACCAAAGCAGTGAGACAGCAAACATGTTATATTATAAACAAGAATACTTACAGGGCTATTCACAAAACGGTGAAGAGTGTGGAGAAGGCAGGAGAAGCAAACAATCTAGGACAAAATAGCTGAACTGGAAAGTGAGCTGAACTGGAGATTTTTCCAAAATAGATATTTTGGTCGAGATTGTTCATTTCTTTTGCTTCCTCCTAACTCTTCACCCTCTAGTGAATAACCCTGTAAGTGTACTGAAAAGAACAAATCATTCAGATTAGAAAAAAAAATATCAAGAAATACCATTATTTGACCATGTACACTGCTCAGTATCTATAACACTTGGCATTGATAATAACATGTCTTGTAACAATATTCTTGATAGGACACAACTTACCAGTAAATGCAACATACTTCACTAACAGATAAAAATCAAAAGAATGTAAGGCATCAAAGTATGCCCACCAACGTCAAGTAAATGATTGAATGTCATAGTTTGGACCCAGATGTCATTTACTATTCTTACATTTTTTAGTGTTTTCTTCCATACCGTGAGACTTTGCATCAAAAAGTATTTTAATCACGGTCCACAATGTTGGTATAAGCTGGTTACTGGTCAGTATGTCGGGTCAGCATGCTCAGGGCATTTATAAAAAAAAAAAAAGACAACTGGTCTTATCATGGCCAAATCACTGCTTAAAAAACCCCAAACCGTACATTTATAAAGCACAGTGATGTGCTTAAAGCTGGCCATACACCTTACAATTATCGTAATCTTGCTAGTCGGCTCTCAAAACACCTGACCAATGCCTGCATCCAAACAGATTGTTCAGGTATTTTGACAGACAGCGGGGCTGACTAGCAAGATACTGAAGCTTGGCCCCGTGAGAGATTCCTCCATCCACACAGTTACGTGTAGATGGAGGAATCTGTTGCACTTTTTCCATCTGACCACAGAAAATCTGCAGATAATTGTAAGGTGTATGGCCAGCTTTACAAGGATACTTAATAGTGTACTGTGCTAGCTTTGAGACTCTGAAGTTACCTAGTCATGGGGCCAGCTCTTTTTCAATCACTGAGATCTCTCTGCTGCAATACGCAATTATTTTAAACTGCAAATATCTAAGGATTAGTAATTCGGTCTACTAGTAATTTATCACCAATTGATAGCACTGAAATGCTCAGCACCAAAAGATAGGTTCCAAATATTGTATTTTGTTTTACATGTGTTTTTTCTACACTAGTCTGTTTGATTTTTTTTTCAAATACATACAGTATACATTATCACTTTAATTTTTCCAAGCATTGCACTCATACTTACCAGCATAGAAAGTTGTCTGAACCTAGATTCAGATCGACTTGGAGAAATAGCAGCCTTTTCAGATATGGCATCACCATCATTATCTTCATGCTGTAATATACAAGGTATATTAACAGGAACATTTATAGTTCTAGGCCACTTGTATTTGTTTTTTAAGCATTTTAGTCTTTAAGCACTAAACACACACATATATTATATTTTATAATTTTCTGAGATTGTGGATTTGGGGTTTTCATGAGCTGTAAGCCATAATCATCACAATTATGACAAATCACGGCTTGAATTATCTTGCTTTGCATGTAATGAGTCTATCTCATATATTAGTTTCACCTTTTAAGTTGCATGAGTGAAATAAATGAACTTTTGCACGATATTCTAATTATTCGAGTTTCACCTGTATTGATTATGTGCAGATTTTCTATGGTCAGATGGAAAAAAATGCAACAGATTCCTCCATCCACACCTGAACAATGCCTGCATACAATGAGATTGTTCAGGTGTTTTGAGAGCGGTGCGACTAGCGAGATACTGAAGCTTGGCCCAGCGGGATATTCCTCAATCCTCGCAGTTTAGTGTAGATGGAAGAATCTGCACTTTTTCCATCTGACCATAGACAATCTGCAGATAATCTATATCTGTATGGCCAGCTTAGGAAAGAGCCAAGAGTTGTCAGTCTGTAAGGGGACCAGGCTGTGGGGAACAAAGAGACTGTCAGAGATGGACAGCTAAGAAGGGCTAAAGCTGGGTCTGTCCATTGGAGACCCTTATATGTGTTTATTTCATTTTGAGAAAATTAAAGTTGGCAAAAAGCACTGAAGGACACCTTGATTAGTGGATTGAGTACTTGAAATGAACTGTCTACGATGCTGATCCCTTCCTCGACAGCATATACTTACCATTCGTTTTGCTCCCACGCATCTCCATTGGTCCCCAAGTAGCCAAGCACTGGAGTTGTCACATTTAAGGTTGGAGGTATCAGGTATGTTTTCTCTCTAAATGGCTGATTAGAGCATTGGCAAAGTATAGGTTTGCTTTAAGCCAAGGCTTAATCACAAACTCCTGTCTTCTCCAAATTTGTGCTGTTTTTCCTTTGTGTACCACAGGCAAAGTCTGAGACCACATCATACTACTAGGTTATGTGACAAGAGTACTTACTGAAGCACTGTAGTACACAGGATATTAACAGTGTGTGTTTTTAACATGATCATGGCATGATAACTACTTTCATGTCTATTGCTTAGGACTGCACATATACCTGTGACTTTTTTTGGCTTGAAAAACACATTGATTTTAGAAATCTCGTTTGTCACCTTTAGAAATGCTGATAGTGTGTCCTCTGTATTTGCCTGAAATAGATGGTTTCTGAACTCTTTGTTTTTTCCAATTTTTTTTAAAAGAAAGATGGAGAGGAATTCCAGTGGGTCATCCTGCAGACGCAAATAATAATAGTAATATAAAAGGGTGACTTTAGACAATCTTTCAAATGCAATAATTATTGCATTACTACAATATATTAAAGCAGCAGCCATTCAAGTACAGATACCGATCACATTACTATTACAATGCTTTGCAATGCAGAAAAGCATGGAGTACTTACACGCTTCTCCTTAACAAGTTCCACCAAAGCTTCAGTTAATGCGTCAGCAATGTCTTGATTGGTCTGCACCTTTACCATGGACATTGTGTCAAACATGAACTGTCCTATAAACAGAAACCCAATGTCACACTGATCATTTCATTCCGAAAATATTTTATTGTGAAAAGACCATATTTACTCTGTTAGCTTAAATATGTACAACCAAAATTCCATGGGGTTCAACCTTAAAAAGAATAATGCCCAATCCAGCCAAAACTTTTTTTGGTTAGTTTTGGATAGAGTGGGGAAGACTTCTATCATCATTTTATTGTGTCTTTGCCCGTTGTTTGGAGGGTTAGTTTCACTTCCTGACTTTTTGACAGGTATTACATTTATCCTCCGTTGGCTGCAAATATGTATCCCACAGCATATATCCCATCATCTGGTGCTGGCTCCCACATGGCTTGTCTACACCTCACAATATACAAGCAAAAAAAATAGAGGTACTCTATAGTTAAAAAAGCCGCTATCTATATTTAATGTTCCACCTGGTGTGAGGCAGATTATCTGAGCTTCACTCAGTAAGAGCTTATTTGTAGTGTGCACTCAAACCGGGGGGAACATAGATTAGCAGCTTACAGATCGGGGGGCCACTTTCTTCTTTTTTTGCTTGTAAGTTGTCGGGTATAACAGGAAGTCAGATCCCCCCTTCCATCCTAACACTGAGGATTGTTTAGAACCCAGTCAGGTGCATCCCTGTCCGAGTGATGGGTGGCAAAGAAGAATAGGAAGAAAACAGAAATCTCCTGAATAGGGACACAGACAGCATTTAAAACATGACTGAGGCTCTAGTCCTTCTCTACTCTGAGATTGGAAAAAAAATGTTTCGGCAGATGCTGGACTTTAGATCTTTAAGCATCCCAACTGATGCAATAGGAAAAAATCCTTAGTCCAATGCACAGGGAACTTTACCTTTTTAACCTGCAAAACACATTTTCTTGTATTTCTTTAGTTCATCAAAAACCATTTCGAAATGAATAGTGCAAAAAACATCACACTCCATCTCAAAGCACAACATTTCAAATCAATACCAAGCCTTTGTTATGTAGGAGCTGTCACACTGCTTGTTTATAGTCAACTACATATGTAGCAATGCTGAAGATTATGCCGGCTGGAAACAATGTAACAGGGGGGCTACATAATCACTGCCTCTTGCCATGAGGATACCAGCGTACATGACTAGTTTTCTGTGTTATGTCTGGGGGAAGGGAGGGGAACACGTTGGGTTTTTATTTTCATTTATTAAAAGTATTGTGGACCTGTGTTGAGAAGCATTCTCCTTCTTACATTATAAACTGCACTGCTTTGTAATTTCAACTCTGTGATCTACAATTACACTGACATAGTTCACTGTTTAAAAATAATACAAAGTGAGTATCACCCCCAAATAGATACTAGCTTGGCGAACAAAACATATGAACTATAAGCAAGAGATAGACAAGTAGCCCCTTGCTATACTGGCACCACTCCGCATGCCCCATATTGGGGGAACTTTTCAGATATCATCTCACAGAGTAGACATACTCCAGCCTTTCACAGCTCCAGAAGACAGCCGCTGAGTGTAATATCTTGTGGTTGTGAAGGGAACAGTGAGGTGAAGGTTTTTACAAGAAGCAAGATGCAGAACATGCAAGAGATGGGATATACACCATTGCACATATCTAAAGTGTTTGGTGCTGTGTCCCTGCCCCCAAAAATAAATTAGACGTAAGCATTAAGCCTTGAGAAAGTGTTGTTGTGTCCAAGAGAAACATATGTTGCCATTTTGGAGGCGTCACATTTTTGTTATCCGATAACTCAACTGTTCACGCTATAGCAGATAATTAAGATAACAATAGCATCTTGAATAGTGGTAAATATTGAGATCGATAACCCTTTTCTATATTGTGTCCCCTTTTCTTTAATATTCTTCCATATGTGAAAGGCATCTTATGACAGAACAACAAAGGAACATAGCTGTATAGACACTTACATGTAGATCCAGGTACCAGAGGATGGACGGGCCCTGGATCTACATGTAAGTGTTTATACCGCTATTTTTCTGCCATGGTCTGCCAAGTTAGCTAGTGCTCCATTGTCTTTGCGCCCTCTGTGTTCCTTTGTTGTTTTGCATTCACAGTTTCTCCTACTGTTTCCCAGGGCTGCATGTTTTTTAGTTAGCCTTCCGTTCTTAGGGCTCCCATCCGAGAGCGCTGTTTATGTATTTCTGTTTTTTTATGATGAGACAGAGATTACCTATGATCCTGCCGGATACATTTCTCTGGAGATCACTAAGGTAAAGCTTCATCTGCTTCCTGACCATATGTAGAGCTTCCTCCATTACACTGGCTAATCTGCACCAGGCCTGTAGTTTCACTTCTGTGAAGTATAAAAATGGGGGGAATTTGCGTCTTCCAGATGTCATCAGCCATTCACTGAAAACTGAAAATGATGTACATTAAACACATTAATGTAATATAAAACACAGTAACAATTAATGCGTATAGCACATACAGTAATAAATCACTGATTTTACAAAGTACACACACAATATAGTTAGAATACCGTAACCATCATATGTCATACCAATCTTATGGTACAACTATAATCTTACAGAGTTGTAGTAACCTTCATCAGATGGAGATGTGTGTGTAGAGTTTAATTTGAAATGATCTATGTCTCACTGCACTCCAGACCAGAATCCCAATGCAATAAGATGGGTGCTGGTATGACCAGTGGATAAGTCCAAAAGTATGAACTAGTCACCTGCACACCAAGGTCCAACATGTTAAATACCTTTATTCAGACGCTAAACATGCATGGTAGCACTAGTGAACAGCAACGTTTCGGAACCATAAGAGCAGTGGTTCACAACCTGTGTAACCTCAGGACCCAACCCTGGTCATCAAGTAAGGGCTCAAGTTGCGCCGCACTGGAATGCTCGGCATTGCGGTACCGTGTGTTCCGGTGCGGGCGGTTGAACAGTGGGTGGGGCTTGCGTTTGGGGTGCCATTTAAATGAATGGCAATCCAGTACACCTCCCACACCAGGATTTGTGGTAGGTGCGATTTTTTTCTACAGTGAGTAGATCCTGAGCCTGGAGTCCAGTGTGGGCTGCTGTGCTGTGACGTAGCTCCATCCATATGTGCATTGCTTGTACAACTCCCTTGCATGCCCTGTAGAGGTGCCGGGAGCCAGAATGTGAGGTCTCTTTGGTCCAGGCACCTCTATAGGACTTGCAAGGGAGCTGTAAGCAATGCACGTATGGATGGAGCTTCCTCGCAGCCATAGCCCCATCCCACCTTAAGCTGACAATCAGTGCTGGGCAGCATATTCTGAATGGCTGCTTGGCATCAGAACTGACAGTGCTGCGCTAGAGTTAGGCTGAGGAGCCTCTCACCTTGAAAAGTGGAAGGCATGCGGCAATCCTCTGAACAAGAGGTCACGACCCGCCAGTTGAGAACCAAAGCATTAGAGGTTCCTTCTTTAGGCAAACATAGTCACTATGTTTGCCTGAAGTATGAACCTCTAATGGTTCCGAAACGTTGCTGTTGACTAGTGCTACCACTACGTCTGAATAAAGGCATTTAACACGTTGGACCTTGGTGGGCCAGTGACTACTTCAAACTTTCGAGTTTAGTTTGAATTCTCATACCTTAATACGCAAAGAGTAATTTATAGGAACAATCAACTGGTGTTTCTCTGAATAATTTGAAGTAGTCAATTTCACTCTTTATCTTTCAAAGTATTTTATTAATTTTCCAGCGTAGAATAAAACAATAATATAGTACATGATGCACAAACAGTATAGCATACAATTGCATTTCAGAGTCTTCCACATTAGCATAGTCAAGTAGTAAGAGGGGATCACTAGAAACCATACACACAATGCATAATAATTCTGTGAAACAGAACATATCTATCCACCTACTCTTGCCAATTTATCCCCCATCAGCAAAAACAAAATCAAGACAGTCTGAGAGGAATATCAGGCATAGGGATCCACCTGTGTCTGAAGCAAACACTTGTTATGATCTCCTCCATATCTATATAGATCAGGGGTAGCCAAACTCCGGCCCTCCAGCTGTGGTGAAACTACCAATCCCATGATGCATCTCTCTCCGGGAGTCCTGTCTGTGGCTGTGAGAATCTTGCAATGCCTCATGGGATTTGTAGTTCCACCACAGCTGGAGGGCCGGAGTTTGGCTACCACTGATATAGATAGAAGACTTTCTGTCCAACATCAATGTACTAAACAGCTCACGTGTGCGAGCCTAAAGAAGGAAGAAACAGACAAAAAGAAGAGGAAAAGGAAATAGATACTAAAAGAAGCAGAACAGCTTAAGAGTCCGAAAAGAGTAGATCCATCCCCGACCAAATAGCCCAACATCTACTTAAACATAGTGCCCAGAGAAAAAATACCAGAAAAATTGTACAATGGAAATTACCCGTTTTCCAGCACCCCTGTATATAACATCCAGGGGGTCCAGGTCAATTCAAAGCATTTTTTAGTATCTTGGAGGATTCTGTGAAGTTTCTCATGGGCCATAATCCACGACATTTTCACCTTTTTTTTCACTCTTTAGAGAGTATACATGGAATGCTCTTCATAAGCTCATAATCGTAAATAACACTTACAATTACTAGAAATTGTATAAAAGGCATGAACTATCCAGTCTGTACTTACTATGTTGGTAAGACCCAGTGGCTATCCCAGTCGGTGAACAAAACATAATGCCAGCTAACCGAGACAGGTTGTCTAGTATTTCCATTCCTGAATCTAGAATACAAAATTATGCATATTTCTATTTCTCTATAGTTTCTCAATACAAGGCAACACAAAAAAAATCTTAACTGAACTGTAAAGATAGTATAAGACAGGCTTAAGAAAAGACTAAAGAAAGATTGTAATTGCAAGTACCAATCCTACAAACACATTGTTATTTCAATTTGTTATTGTCATTTCACTTGTAAAGTAAATGTAATTACAAGATATTATATTTGCATAGGCTGATTTAAAATAGAGTTAGATAATTGCCACCCAAACAAGGTTAGACAATCATCACTTTTTATATATATATGTATATATATATATATATATATAAACTTAAAATACAAGAAGGGAAAGTTGTTCCCTCTTCATCAAGGCACATGAAAAGAACCATTGTTTCTTTGACTAATCTAGTTTTTATCTGGCCTCTAACTTCAGCCAAAATTAGTTAGAATCCACCTGATGTTTGTTAATTTGGTATAGTAGACAAGAATATTGGCCACACTATACTAGAATATTCTTGCAAGAAAGTTTGTTTATGGCTTGCAAAGCCATACCTATCATATGGATGAGCCCATCATCTGTCGCCCAGCGGTTAATCAGATTATCTCTTCTGAAAAAGTTATATATGGGAACTGTCCCTTAAAATTCCATAAAATGTGCGACTTATAGTGTAATTCTACTCTCAATTTAAGTTCGGGGTGACCTCCCTAGACTAAAAGTTTAACCCCTTCGTGACGGGAGACGTACAGTGTACGTCCCGTCACAAAGTGGCTATATGACTGGCCACGTACACTGTACGTGCCGAGTTATATTAGCCTCTGTAATGCTGGTAACTGCTGATTCTCAGCAGTTCCAGTCATTAATTAATGCCTCACTATTGAGACATTCATTAATGAAATAGTTAAGCTTTTTTAAAAGCTTCTTTCTTTCATGAATGAAAGAATTAAGCCTTTACATTCAGATACGGGTTCGCTAAATAGCGATCCCGTATCTGACAGCTGAAGATAGCAGAGAGGTAGCAGTGACTCACCTCTCCGCTATTCGTTTTGACAGCTGGAAAGCCTGGCCCGATGTTAAATGATACATTTCAACCACTAGATACAAAATGTATCTCTTGAGTGAAATGCATCAGTTTTGATCGTCTAGGAACGATCAAAGACCTTTAGTGAGATCTGATTCTGACATGCTGTCAGGATCAGTCTCTAAAGTTATTATTAGCTGTTCCTAAGCTTGGAGCAGCCTGATAATAACTAAAAAATTTAAAAAGTTAATTTATTAAGCAGTCATAGTGATTGCTTGATATAAACTGACAAAAAAAAAATATTTTTTTTTTACACTTATTTTTTTTACAAAGTGTAAAAAAAAAAAAAAAAGTGTACAAAAAATTAGGAAAATAAAACGTTTATATATAAATATATTTGTATACTATAATTATTATTAAAAAAATTCTAAAAATAATAATAATAATCAAAACTTGCTGCTGTGGAAGAATCACACAGCAAAAATGTAAAAAGTGTGTCAGTCATTTAGGAACAGAAACTAAAAACTAGCTCAGTCATGAAGGGGTTAAACTACCTCACAGTCAGTATATGTGGACTCCTTGGCAACGTCTTTCAGAATATATGTATGTAATTAAATCACACAAGAGACACTGATTGTTTTATGTTTTATGAACAATATTTCTACTCAAATGTTTTTTATAAGTTTACTGTAATTGTGAACATTGATGGACTTTAATATTTATGCATAGCTGTTTGAGTTTAATAAACAGAGTTTACAAAAATGAGTAAGAATCTCTATTGGGAAACTTGTTCCCATAACAACTGACAAAGATGGGATTTCAGCTAGTTTTGAGGAGATTGCCACTCACTTTCTGTTGTGTCTTCAGGATAGGAAATGGAAGCATTAGCAATATGTTGGAAAATCTCTGAATAATAACAAACACTCTCAACAGGTGGAAACTTTTACAGCCTTAGGGAACACTTGTGGCACCCAATCTTTGCAGGCAATGTTTGAAGTTCAAAAATTACTTGGAAAAATCCGGCCATGCAAGGTCACCGTAAGGTGAAGAGTCTTAAACCAGACCATTGAAACAGAAAATAAATGGTCCAAAACCATTTAGACTCAAGAAGACACTCTTGTTTTATTTTTTTTACTGTTTTATCTGCTGCTGTTGTCCAGAAAAAATCATTTGTGCCCATTCTAAGATTACTATTACTTTGCTATGGAGGCCCCAAGATGCAAAATCAAGGCCTCTATAGCAAAGCAAAATAATCTCTGATAGGGCACAGTAGAGGCTTTTCTGGATAAGATAGACAGTAAGCTGTAAGCAGCAATGGATAGGTTCACTTTAAAAGTGATCTTGTCACATAGCCCATCCCAGGCAAAGTGACAGAGTCTGTGAAAAGCACACTGTCGGACCACTTTATTCTCAGCTCTCCAACATTCTTTGGCCACTCTTTCCTCCGCCACAATCACCACCAAACTACTCGGTATCTGATCTCAAAGAAAGTGCTGATGTTATACTTCCTTCATGTGAGGAGATCCCCCATACCTGCAAGCAATTTTTTCATTTCCTGGAGTTCTTCTTTAAACATTTAATTATATCCCTGATCCAAAGCCTAAATATCATTATTTCATCTGAAAGAGAGAACCACTAAAGATATTGTTTTCTTGATGATGCTCACAACAAATAGCATAGTACATATAAAGAAAATACAAAAAATGACACAAAACATATTGTAGTGGACATTCATTTTGTATGGATTAATTCACTATAATGTTATTACTCAACATGCCTTACCTGAAGCTGCAAAAGGGACAAACAGGTCAATGTGACCACCATCTTTATCTGACACCACACAGCTGCTTAATTTTTCCCAAAACTCTCTAATATGTGAACATAGAACATTCTGTGTATCGATTCGGACACCTGAAAAATACAAATTGTAAGCTCTTAACACTGTTTATATTTGGTTAAATATGTGATGTGCCCAGATTTGTTTGGCACATTGTATTAGGCAGGGCATAAAATTGTAGGCTTAGCAGTAAATTTGGTTTTACATGTCTGTCAAAATCTGAATGTGGTGTACATCATAACATTTCTGCACTAGAGCACTTACCCTGTAGTAAATGTAGGTGTTGAGAATTCCCATCTGCAACAACTCCAATACTGTGTGCTGTGCGTCCACCCAAAGCTTTCTCCACACAGAAGTTTAAACTTTCAAGAGTCATGCCATTGAAGTCATAAACTATAGGAACCACACCGGGTTTCACACAACTGAGTACAACCTACAAAAGCAAAGGTGAATACATCTAGTGGTATTACAAACAACCCAAAATGTGTATAATAATGTATATAATTTAATAATATAAAAAAATAGACAACCTCATATGCCAGTATGTGGGATGATATCAACACGAGGTGAAGAGGACCTGAGGTGCACAACTGTGCTGGCTGACCCCGGAAACTGTTGTATTGCTTTGTGTTTGTAGAAGGGTACGTGGTACATCCAGCTACATTATGCCTGAACAGAAATAAAAGAAGGAAAAAAACAGCGTAAACTATAGCAGAGATCACAGTCTAGAATGATACCTCCATGATGACAGATATTACATAGTGAACACAGGCAAACACAACTATGTTGTATACTTTACAAAAACAGTAACATTAGTGGTTTCCAACCTGCAAAACATTTATATCAGTATCTAATCATGTTTTCAAAATCCACATATTGCATATCAAAGGACTTTTTATTTGTTATTCAAAAGTTTCAAATCACATTTCAAAGGCTTCTAAAAGGTAAACATACTACAACTGTATAGTGGTCAGTCAGCAGTATCATTCACACTCCACATATTTGTATACTTGCATAATACAAATTAAGTTTTCAAAAAACCAATGTACCCAGTCATAGGCATGTGTGTGTGTAAACTTTTAGTTACATGCCAATGTGCATTATATAATAAAATGGCTATCTGATCAAAATGACATGTTTACCTTTTTGGCAATGAGTCTATTGATTGTTCTACAAGCTTCTTTTCCAAAGCCAATGTGAAGCTGGGTGTGTGGTTATCTTCATTCAAGAGCCAACTTGTCAACGTCTTATCTGGGCCTGTATCTTTCCCCTAAAATAAATGCAGCCATCTTAACTTCATAATAGAACCTTTCCCCCCCAAAAAAGGACAGATGATCATCATATACATATTGTTATACATCTACAAACATGAACACATTTGTTCATACCCTTCCACAAAGCAAAAAGGAACCCTCAATTTTCTCTAAAATAACTTCAAAACGGACCAACGTAATGGGCATCCATCACTGTTTATTACATATTTAAGTTAAATCATTTTGATTTTTTTTTTTTGATCAAGGGAATATTTAAAATAATAAAACATTAAAAATGGCATGTTAACCCAATATTTGGTTGCAAAATCTTTAGTGGTGGTCACTGCAAAAAAATTATTTTTGTATCTATTAATGAGACTTCTACATCTGCCAACAGGTAGATTGACTCACTATTCTTAAGAAAACTGCTCTAGCTGCCTCAGATTTGATGCCTTGGTTTGCCTTCTCCAGACGCCATGTTTCAGCTCTTTCTACAGACATTTGATATGATTGCGATCACAGCTTACAAAATGACACTTCAGAATAGTTTAATGTTTTGTTCTTAGGAATTCTTGGGTGCCCTGCACACATTTAAGGCACCACCTGCAGATGCAGCAAAGCAGTCCCAAAACATAATATTTGTGGTGTAACTGTGATTTGCCAAAAAGCATCAGTTTTGTCTTATCTGTGTAACAAACTTTCTGCCAGGAACATTGGGCTTGTCAAATGCATTTTTTACTTTCAACAGTTGTGCCCTCCTGGGTCTTTGAGCCCACTGTCGCTCAAAAAGCAATGTATTGGTCCGATCAAACACCGATGTACCTTGACCTTGGAATTCAGCTTGTATCTTCTTGGAAGCTTCCCTTGGTTCTTTGATTATCAGTCACACGATCCTTCAGTTCAATCTAGAAGTCGATTTTCTCCTTCAGCAAGACTGGGGTGGTTGGCTATATGGACCTTGAACTTTTTAATAATATTTGCAACGGTAGTCACATGGACATCAAGCTGCTTGAAGATGGCTTTACAGCCTTTACCTTTGACATGCTTGTCTTTTATTTTCTTTCTGACCTCCTCAGACAAAACTTTCCTTTACTTTCTCTGTTCGTTGTTCAATGTGGTGCACACAATTATATCAAACAGCATAGTGACTACTTTTCTCCATTAAAATAAGTTGACTGATTAAAAGATTGTGACATCTGTGACACCAATTACATTATAACGTTTGTTTGAAATATCACTATAATCTTTTCTGGGGGTACCAACAAATCTATCCAAGACATCTTGCACAACAAGCAATAATTTATAGCCTTTCAAATCAAATCTATGACATCAGGGGCGTAACTAGAAATCACAGGGCCCCATAGCAAACTGTTATATGGGGCACTGTGATTTCTAGTTACGTCCACCTGATAACCCAAACAGCCCACCTCAGAGTGACCCTGCGGGGTCCACCATAGACTCTCTATGGTGGGCTCTGAAGGGTCTCAGGTAGGCTGGTCAAACCCTCTTACGTGTCAGCCCCGATCCACTGTCTGCCTCCTCCTCCACGGTCACTGACTGGCCCCGCCTCCTCCATCGCTGGGCCCCACCTTCTTGGTCACATGACCCGCCTCCCCCATTGCCAGGCCCCACCTCCTCCATCACCGGGCCCCGCTTCCTCCATGCTGCCGACGTCGGGCCCAGCCATCTCTTCTGCAGCTTCTGGCTGCCACTGACTCAGCATTGGCTGAGAGGAGGAACGCGCCGCTGCACACATCACTGACAGGTTGTTAGTGATCTGACCAGCAGTGCGTTCCTCCTCACAGCTGCCACTGAGATGCAGCCTGAGATGTCATAGCGACCCAGGCAGCCTGCACGGCATCAGGGGGATGTCGTGGCTGGGTCCCCCTGTGCCCCAGGCCCCATAGCGGCCACCTGGGTTGCTATGGCGATTGTTCCGCCACTGTATGACATACCCAAGGCATGCAGTTATACATGGAAAACTTGCTTTCAATCTCATCACTTTTCAGGAGGAATGAAGCATTGTTTCAATGAGCTGCAAGTGTAGCAATACATTTGTCTACATCTTTATTTATCTTGTATTTAATATAACGGAGTATGCTGGGGTTGAGAAGCATCAAGAACCAGATAAACACTGGTATAAAAATTTTTGGCTATGATTTTTTTTTTTTAAGCCCGTGGATGTGCATCAAAACTTCCCCCTGTGAACAAAAAAAGTGCAACCGTGAAACCACAGCACACAAAAACGTGCACAAGGGTGCAAGGTCCTTCCAAAGAAGGGACCTACTTTCCTGACCCCCCGGGGCGCAAGGCTCCTGGATGGGGTTGAGACTGTTGGCCCACCAACCCGAAGGCTGGTGGGCCCATTTCCTTCGGGGACCTGCCGAAACAGGTCCCTCACAGTACTAGGCAAGTGGGCTCTCCCGAAGAGAAACCCACCTCCTGGGTGGGAGGAGACAGAGAACTCCGTAGGAGGCACAGAATCTCCTCCCAGCGTCAGGAATAGGCCCCGAAGAAACCTGCACCTTCAGCATCTGTGGGTCAAATAGTAAAATAAAAAAGTGCCAAACGTGGATAGAGTGCTTAAATAAATATAAAGTGCCAGTGCACCACTCTGACAGGCCTTAGGGGCCGGAGTGCAAAAATATTGCCCCAGACTAGCCATAAGGCCTGTCTTGGAGGCGAAGTGCAAAAAATTGCAATATGGTGTGTGACCAAGTGCTACAGTGAGTCATGTGGGGTCCCATACCATGTGACTTTCTGAGCACCCCTGGGACGCCACCCCCAGGGGGCACAACATCACGGGCTTCTGCCGCCCCCGAACCCTCGAGCCTCGACCAAGCTTTGCACCCGTTCAGTCAGTAGGCAATAGTGCCGAGGAAACTCCCCCCTCTTCTAAAAAGGAGTCGCCTCGAGCACCTACCTTTACTCCTGAAGGTACTAAGCAACTGTCCGTCCCAAGGACAGTCCGTGCTTTTCCCCTCTGGAACTGATAAGAACAGATACTACACTTGAGCTTAGCCAAAAGGCCGAGAAGCTTCTCTTAGATACTGGCTATGATTCCTAAAGTGCATGGCAAGCCATTTTTTTTTTCTTTCTCTTTTTTTAGGTAGATTGGGGAAAATAAGAACACCTGTTGGGTTTTCAGTCCAATTTGGTGGTCGGTTACAGAGATTTGCCCTAAGTTTCTGTCCTTGTGGCAACGGTTTTACTAGACAGGAACTAAGTAAAAATCTGCAAAAGGGACACAGACAGAAATAAAAAGCTGAAGTGTCATAATTCACCTACCTCCATACAGTGCTGTGATCTTGTAGAATTATGTCACAGTGATGACACGGATGGCACTGTATGAAAACTCCAACGTTATGATTAAATAATCACCAGCACACACGTAGTATAATCTTAGATCCTTGTTCAATTTATTCAATCATTGTGACATTAAATCATAAATCCCAATGTTTTGGGGCCATGCAGGGTCCCTTCCTCAAGGCAGGACAAGATTTGAGGGAAAATATTTAATAGAGCCCGGGTAGCAATAAAAACCTGACATGGGTTCTATACTATTCCCACTCTATTCGAAACTAAGAGAAAAAGTTTTGTCTGGACATGCACTTGGGTGTGATTGTTCTTAAAGTAGTATTAAACTTTTTAATAATGAATCCAGATCAAACAAATATACATTGCCCAGCAAAGCATTGCTTTACATTTTTCCCCAAATACTTACAATCATCATGTTTCTGAACAGCTGCATCCAAGTCTCTCAGCTCAGCTTCCCTGAACCTCCTGTCCAGTACAAGATCACAATGGACAACAGACTCCAGAAACTGTTCATCTACTAGCTTGGAGAAGGGAGGAGAGGGGGCCAGGGGGGAGGGGATTAGCTTGATTTGCTGACTGTGTGTTTGTGGAGACACCCACAGCTTACTAGCACACACAAGGGTAACTGCATACCACTCTGTTTGACAAAGAAGTCACTCTAAAACAGGATATCAGGGCCAGTGCTCAGAAGACCAGCTGATTCTGCAGGAAACTAAACCTTTTAAACATCAATGATCAACCTCGATTGTAAGTGATTTCATCAGCATTTGAAATAACTTAAAATCTTTTTTACTTTAATATCACTTTAATAAACGGTATTGCTCAGCAGACCACAGTCTTAGTTTCACTGGCTACTACTCAGTATTCCAAATCAAGAGCCTTATGAGCCAACCTGTAACTCCAACCTCAGCCACACTACTACCGGTACTAGTAAGTACCTCACTGTACTCACAAGATAATAATAATAATAATAGTAAATGGATTACACTAGACATTACAATCACAACATCCACATCACTAACCATATTACCCCATTTAACTTCAACTTCTGCAACACGACTAATGGTAAGTACATCACTGCACAATACAGTTATTGTATATAGGCAAGAACAATAGCCGTAAAAATTTTACACTAGACATTCCAATTACAAAGTCTACACAGTTTATTAATTCACATCACCCACTTTTCCAAAACTCACCTTAATCAACCACAGTGCTGCTTGCATTGAAGCCCGGTCAGTTAGACTCATAGATTGTGTTAAACTTAATTTGGAGTTTACAGCTGATCTCCAAGCTCCACTCATCCAAGGGGGTCTGCTTTTAAAGAGCTCCTCTAAAAAAAAAAAAAAACAGACCGCCATCTTTAAATAATTTTGAGACAAGTAATTACTAACTGCAGAGGAAAAAAAGTTAACAGATACACTTTTAGCTAAAAAATTAGTATTGTCCCCTTCTGGTGCTGGATCTGTAGAAGCATGTATTGTTAAGAAAACTGTTTTCCAATATGGGTTGTTCATGACCAGCATAGTATTTACTAGCTGCAGTATTTGCAGCCCACATTAGGATTGGGAACGAATGCCATACTGGAGACTTTAGAGCTGAGAGCTGGCTCATGAGGAATTATTACTGGTATCATTAGATCCTGTCTTCAGTGATAATGCCCACCCTTGCATTATATTATTGCATTCCCTCTCTGCTGCTTCTTTCCCTTCATCATCTCATTGACAATTGTTGCAAGATTAAAGCTTCAATCTATACTAAAGCACCTCATTCTGAAATAAAGAATTTCTACAATACACTTACTATAAACTAAAATAAGTATTATCACTGCTTTTACAAAATAAAGCTTACCTAGCCATAGTTACATAGTATTTGAGGTTGAATAAAGACACATGTCCATCAAGTCCAACCTATTGTGTGTGTGTGTGTGTGTGTGTGTGTGTGTGTGTATATAGGTCCTTGAGGCATCTCATTCTTAAGAGTACCTGTACCCCCGTATATTACAGTCTCTCAGGAAATCGTCCAAAAGCTTTTTGAATGATTCCACACTATTTGCTGAAATCACTGCTTGTGGCAACCAGTTCCAGACCCTAAGCCATCATATTATTTTTTTGAGTTTGCTAACCATTGTACACAACTACTCACTTTTCTGCAGCGACAGCCTTTCCCGAAGCATTTTACGCAGCCACGTCTCCTGTAATTTGTCCTTCAGTTCCTCTTCTCCTTCCTTAGGCTCATTCAAAGTGCCATATGTCTCTGCAGCTTCCCTTGGAGTGAGATAGTCCAGGCTACAGGCACAGGATATATAGTGCCTCTTCCATGCTCCATATTCATTGTCTGCTGGAGTGTATGGCAAAAACCAGCCAAACTTGGTACACTTGGGCATCCACAGACAGTCCTGTATAATTTACATCAGGAAACACAGAGAGAGGTCCTAATCTGTTTGATTAACTATTTTACATTGAAGACAATAAAAATATTGTATATTTAAAAGCTGATTATTGATTGACAAGGATTGTCACATAATACAATATGCAGTATCCCACAACAATCTCCACATGTGTATGACACAATCTGGTTGGCCTGGCAAGGTTAACAAATTCCATCTGCTTGGTGACTGACCAAAGGAGATAGTAGTGTATGTGCTGCCTGAATAATATGAGTTGTAAGAAGACTGATATGCTCTGTTAATCCGCAAAGAGGAACTTTACCCATATCTTCAAAATAGAAACAAACACATATTTAGAAATGTTTAGTAATGACAATCTACAAACAGATACTTCTAGATAATTGCCGGCTTTGTGTTCTTTGCATTCCTTATTATTCTTATTTTCCCCAGTCGTCTGACAGTGGCCATTTTAACTAAGGGCAGGTTACTAGATCTCTCCACTTCCTGGATTTATTGCACATGTGACTAGGGCATGTGACCATGCACATCATCTCAGGGGAAGAAAATGCCTTTCCCTGAGATCTCACGAGATTACAGATGAGATTTATCAACAATGCTCTGGTGATGTAACCGTACCAGGATGCAATGCTTGGGCACATTACATCATTAGTGCCAAAGTGGACCAAAAAGTGGGGGGAAAAAGAAATTGTAAGTAAAATAAAAATATGTTTGTGTAGCTAATGATTGTAAGATGATTTCAAAATCATCAGAAAATTATATTTCTGTACTGTAGAAACGAAACATCAACTCTAATTACGCTAGACAACGCCTCTTCTTTTTTTTGTTCTGGGTTTGATTGTGCCAGCAATTTTTATTCAGCCTTACTGAAACGCACCTTATCACAGACATATAGTATTGTTGCAGTGCATAACCTAAGTACATAGCCCTGGTGACCAACCTGTAGCCCGAGTACTACATGCTACCCTTTCAAAATTATTGTGTGGCCCTCGGGCCTTAGCAGTCAGAAGAAGGGGCCTGAGGATAGATTTATAAAGTGACTGTAATTGCAGTGATAGCTAGCAGTCTCATGTAATATGTCCCCAGCTTCTGACTTTCTCTTGTAACATCTCTAGTCTCCAATCCCATATGTAGTATGTCTGTTGTTTCTGAAGCTTCTTGCAGCTTTACATATACTGAATATTATGTGTGGCCCTGCGGTGTAGGCGTCAGTTGAAACCTATATATCTTGTACGTTGACCAGAAAAATTATATACCATACAAGTGTACCAGTGTGATAACTGTATACTTATCTGCCCACACACAGAAACCTACAGATTATATAGATGGCAATGGAAGTTGTTAAGGGACATACCCTGACAGATGTGATCACTGTGCAGCTTAAAGCTGAACTCAAGGCAAACAGCTAAATACATAATGATTTACAAAGCTCTGCCACACAGCACAATACTGACTAGCAGGAAAAGGGCTTGATGTTTCTCTAATAAAGATTCACTTTTATATACATGTTCCTTCCCCACCTCCACTCTGTGACATGGCAGTAGAAAGAGAAGCAGCAAGCTGATGAGCTCATCTCTCTGTCACTCTGCTCTCTTGTCCTATCAACGTTCTCCCTCCCACTCTCTGAGCCCTGCTGTACATGGACTGCAAGCAGATACCAACTCAAATGCCAGGTACTTACACTGCTTGCATTTAAAAATATAGATATAAAGGTGTATTAATGGTTAAAGAGCTGTTTTATTTTGTGTCTTTTATATCTGCCTAGAGTTCAACTTTATTCTTAGATATCTATATCTGCCAAATTGGAACCAGCACACCAGTGGAGCTGTGTCCAGATCTTCCCAGTGACAAATAGATGTGTCGTCTCACAATGAGTCATTTTCTCCTTTTTCTCCATATAAAAAAGCCATTCACACTCAGTTGTGCAGAATTTTTCTGTACACGATTAATGCGTCCAACCCAGTTGTGACAATAGATACTCGACTCTGCAGTATAGTTTGCTGATATAGTTACTCTATGGCTAGCCATACAGTCATACAGTAGATTTCTCCATCCATGCTAAACAGCTACTGGATTCAAACAGCCAACACCTGTGACTCTCTGAATACCTGAACAGTGACTGCATCTAACTGTTCAGCTGACAATATTCAATCCAGTTCCTTCGATTTTGTAATCAAAGTTGGTTGAGCCGGGTGGTCCCAACTGGGTAACCCACAGTTCAAATGTCACGCTGGGTATGACCAGCTTCAGCTTAAAATGGCCTAATCTGCCTAGCAATCAAGCTGTGCCCCTTCAGTTAACTGAAGCGTATCATTAGATAAAAGACAGAATATCATAGATAATGCTAATTGTACCTGCTCAGCGAGGAACTTCCAGTGCCAGCTGACCTGTCCAGCAACACATAGGTCATGAGCATTCAGGAAGGAAAAAATGTACAAAGACAGAACCCTGGGGATCACCGTTGTAAAGTCTACATTGGTGACAGGACATTCTTCTGCGAACCAGTCCTGTATAAATCTACAGCAAAATACAGAAATGTGACTAAATACCAATAAAAGATCTCTAAAACAATGAACTAAGGTATAAAAATATATTACTACATGTGTGATACAAGCTTGCAACTAGTAATTCTTTGTTCTGTCTAGAAGTTAACATAAAAAGAAAATAAAAACACATGGAGATTATTATCACTTCAAAATTCCTTAAAGCAGAACTCTGGGTAGAACATTTTCTTAACACTTGCAGTAGGGCTACCCCTGCACTGCAAACTGCAAGGGCTAAGAGCTTATTATTGTCTAGGTTCAAAAACAACAAAGTTATACACACCCAATCCCACGTTCTATACATAGTGTATGGCAGTGTTCCCCAACCCCCGGGTTTTATCAAACGTTGACCGGTCCGCGGCGATAAAAAGGTTGGGGAGCACTGGTGTATGGGACATATGGACGCCGAGGGAGGAGGGGATAGGCTGGAGGGAACGCTGGCACAGCCTGCCAGCTCCGAGGATCAGGTAAGTATACCTTTGTTATTTTTTAACCTTGGCAAAAACAAGCACTTAACCCTTGCAGTGCAGGGGTAGCAAGGGTTAAATCTAGAACAAAACACAGAGGAAGAAAAAAATCACATCTGTCATACAGGCAAATAGAAATGCACTGTGAATCTCAAACAAGTACAAATTTAAAAAAAGGAGATTACCATACTAGGATGTTGGTGTTTGCTTTACATGAGAGAGAGCAACAGTCCAACATATGCAGGCTCATTGAATACAATGCACTTCTTATGCTGCTGACAATGCTGATTACATGCTGGGGAATGTAAGCATTCCCAAAATATGTAACATGGTTACAAAGGTGGAATTAGCCTTTAATGATTGTTAAGAGAGAGACTGAGTCATTGCACTGAGCCACTGATGGCTAATCTACCAATACAATCACAGAAATATGAAATGGTATCTTAGGGTACCTGCTTTTCATGTCTGCCTGTGGTTTATGAAAGGTTCTCTTTCCTTTTGAAATGTCCATTGGTGGTACTTACGTCAGTTGTGATCTGCTGCTCCTACTTAAAATAGAATGAAGAAATTGTTTGCGCTGCTTGTCCGTCCAGAGGTCATACCAATGCCCTATGAGATTCACTCTCTCGTGAAAGAGCTGTGTAGAAAATGCATAATTAATTGTCATGAAAACCAGGAAAGCGTTTAAAAGGTGGACAAAGAGCTCTGCAGGTAAAAGGCAAAGAGAGAAATCAAAGAGGAATGATGCGGACTAATAATAGGACATTATTCTTAGTATGATTTTAAAAGCTTTAGAGTTCTCATTAATGTGTTTTGTGCAATAGATGTGAACTAGCCCTCCCATAGCACCTTTCGTTGAATACAAATTCATGTGGAAAAGGTGCCTCCTATCTCTTACAGCCAAGGAAGGGGCCACCTTAGCCTCTACAGTATTTGGATTGCAGATGCCAGGGTGAGGGCTTGAAAATTCAGTTGCGAGATTAATTAAGTTCACTGACAACCTTGATAAGTTGGCATGGCTTAAAAGTAACATTTTTAGGAAACATTAAATTGGAGGGTAAAGTTCTTTTTTTAAAGGAGAACACCGGGGAAAATTATTATTAACCATTGCAGCGGGACTACCCCCGCACTGCAAGGGTTAAGTGCTCATTTTGGTCTAGGGAGGAAAATAAAGTTATACTCACCTGACGCTCAGAGCCAACTTGCTCATAGATGGGTTCCTGGAGCCTCTCTCCTCCTCCACTGCAGCGGTCTAAGGTCCTTGAGTCATCACGTTCCGTACACATTGTATAGGATTTGAGGACACCAAGGGACATACTATCGCAGCAGAGTAGAAGGAGACAAGGTGGAGGAAGTGCAGTTACAGCTGGCCATCTTCGAGGATCGTGTGAGTATATCTTTATTATTTTCCTTTCTAGACCAAAATTAGGAGTTAACCCTTGCAGTACGGGCAGGGCAGCCACAGAGCCACAGGTTGCTAAGAGCTCTTAGCAACCTGTGGCTCTGTCCGCTCTCTGGCTTCCTGCCCAGTGTGCTGATGTCATTGGATGCAAGGGAGCTGAGCAGGACACTCTGGCTGAAAGCCCACTGAGCTCCAGGCAACCAAATACATCATCAGCCTCAGATGGCGGTTAGGGTAGGGACGACGGTAGCCCCACTGCAAGAGTTAATGATAATTTAAGGATGAATTATTCCACAGTGCCTGCAGCCACAGATGTCGGTCATGGCTTGTTTTAAAGCTTGTTTACTTCCTGTTAACAGCATGTAAATGTTTAAATGTCCATAGCCTGGTCACAATTCTACTTTAATTAAGAATATTCCCTGCATGTTAAATAAGCCCTAAATGCAGTATAGTTTCTGTTTCCTATACGCATTGATGAATGGTGCGAAAATTAAGCATACCAGAAGTAAGTTCTAAGGAACCGAAAACCCTAACTGACTGTTTAGGTGTAGGATGATTCCTCAGGGACTTTGTTGTCACTGAGTTTTACCACTGTACATGATAACTAAAATGAATGCATGAAGCCAGAGACTTAACTATGCCCCTTATTTGTACCAAACCACCCCCATCCAAGTCTAAACCTGCAGTATATTAGAAGTGTCTTAGGGTCAGTTCACATTATCACGTTTTATGTGCACTACCATGCAGGATCACAGTGCACTAAAAGTGCATGAAAACTACTTACCATTATAATCTATGAAACTCTTCACATGAGTGTCTTTTGTTAAAGGACATTGCATTGTTTGTTTAAAAAATCCTGCTCCCTACATCTCATGTGCATTTTTGCAAAAACAGGCGTCACATTTTAATCAATGATTCTAACCAATGGCAGCACTTGGAAAACAAACTGAAAATGCACTAAAAACACATTATGCACTTGAATTACTATGTTATGTTTTTCAATTCACATGTCCCTATTTCCCATGTGTCAGCAGCATGACAAATTGTTAATTGATGTGCATAGAGGAGATGAGCCCAGCAAAGAGGAGCAAGGATATGGATAGTAGGAGAGAAGCAGGGAATAGACAAGCCGATCCATGGTCAAAGTGGAGCCATTTATAAGCCTTGTGAGGGAACGTCCAGGGGTCTATGACCCTTCTAGTTCCAATTCTAAGGATAGGATGAGAATAACTCCAATTATTAGGATAGGATGAGATTAGTAGAATTTATCTCACAATCACACCATAAATCGATAGAGATTACAGAAAAGCTAACACCAGAAACCACTAGACACAACCCACAAAATGTAGAGAGTAAATGACAAAAATGAAAAGGAAGAAAATGCATGAAAAATGCAAGAATTCCATCTCTACGACTAAGCCCATGATTGGGGAAACGAGTCAGAGGGGGTGGACCTTGGGCGAGACACCAGTGATGTTGTACAAGCTTCAATAAACTATCCCAGTGGAATCTGGTCTGCAGCCAGCTTTTCTTCTGTTTGTATGGGCTCATACTTGAGTGAGGACTTGTTCCCAGTGGCAAGCACCCAACTTATTCCTTTCCTGAGCCATAAAGGAACGGTGCCTCTTTTGTGTGTTGAAATGCAAACAAAACGCACATAAATGTGTCTTGTGTTACATTATATTTTAACACAACACATTAAAATGTGCCAAAAAAGCATTATGTTCTCTAAGGAAAAATTCATGTTCAATTTCTATATATAATGGTGTGAACCGGCCCAGTGCCCTTACGTTCAAGCAATCTTGCGCCAGCATGTTTACCTGTTTGTTGAAAGATTTGCTTGCCATTGGTGTCCAGGCACTAAAGCGTATCTGAGTGCCCACAGTCTGATCAAAATGAATGTTGTCCTTGATTGACATCTGTGTCTCTCCCCCATGGAGCCCCACGCTCTCCAGATGCCAACGTTTAACACTGTGTGGACTGAGTCTCCGAGGACTGCTCATCAGGTCTAGTCTATGCAGGGCAAACTACATATATTCAGGAAAAATGCTGGAACCATTCATACAACTACAAGAGAAAGAGTATAATACACATGGATAAGTACATTCACATTCTACAATACAGAATATTTCTACTTATCACATTTAATAATCTGAATGATTATAATGTAAAATAATATGCATACATAACACAGCAGAAAAGACAACATTGTTATTGTTGAATGTAGCCCTAGACATGTTAGTGTTAATCCTGCAATAGCAAAATGACAACTAGAAAAATAATGTAAAAAATCCTTTGAGACTTCGACTAGGTTGGCTGGAAAACTTTGGAAGGTTTACTATTGTTCTTGGATAGTTGTGCAGGTATAAGAGGGCGCACACGATGCAGTGAATGGCCTGTTTAGCCAATATGCAAAATCCAGTGGATTTAGAGGTTGGGTTAAAAAGGGAAGAACACTTTATACATAGTATCCATAAACATTTCCATTCTGTGTACCAACATCCATATATACCTACAGAATATCAACCTCTATAGGTTGAACTCGATGGGCTTGTGTCTTTTTCAACCTGACTAACTATGTAACCAAGTGAAATAAGTTTTCGGGTCTATTGAGTTACAGAAGCCTATAAACCATATGTCAATACCAGTAGAATGTTATTTACAATATCTTCAAAACATGACTAAACAACTATTTGGTTAGGTTGGCGTATGACGTAATACACAAAATGGCATAGAAAAATAGACCTTACTCGGTACAGTCTCTAATTTAACCATACATGAGACAATCTTTTTGCACTAAAGGACAAGATCAAAATCCCGCCTACAGCAAACAGGGTTTCAAATACATATTTAAAGTGCATATTCAGTATCTTCAAAACATTACTAAAAAACTATTTGGTCAGGTTGGCGTATGACGTAATACACAACATGGCAAAGAACAATAGACTTTACTGGGTACAAGTCTCTAATTTAACCATACATGAGACAATCTTTTTGCACTAGAGGACAAGATCAAAATCCCGCCTACAGCAAACAGGTTTTCAAATATATATCTAAAGTTCATATTCAGTTCTTTCACATATACACCAATCAGCCATAACATTATGACCGCTTGCCTAATATTGAGTAGGTTCCCCCTTTTGCTGCCAAAACAGCCCTGAGGCATGGACTTTACTAGACCTCTGAAGGTATGTTGTGGTATCTGGCACCAAGCCGTCAGTATCAGATCCTTTAGGTCCTGTAAGTGGAGAGGTGGGACCTCCATGGATCGGATTTATTTTTCCAGTACATCCCACAAATGCTCGATTGGATTGATATCTGGAGACATTGGTGGCCAAGTCACCATCTCAAACTCGTTGTTGTGTTTCTCAAACCCTTTTTGAACCATTTGTGCAGTGTGGCAGGGCACATTATCCTGCTGTAAGAGGCCATTGCCTTCAGGGAATTCCAATTCCATGAAGGGGTGTACTTGGTCAGCAACATAGTTTAGGTAGGTGGTACATGTCAAAGTAACATCCACATGGGGCGTGGCCGAGATGTGAGACTGAGCAGACGTGTCTCACTGCAGCTCCCGACATCCGTGCTACATCCTGACCCTTAGCCGACTGACAAACCGGCCGAAATACTCACCCAGTACTGTCGGGTGATCAGGTGACTCCTGCCTTCTCCTTGACCAGTAGACGATCGACCCGGTCCCGAGCGAGCGGTGGCACTCCAGGCCGGCCTGCTGACACGTGCGCCGGCGCCATCTTGGCTGCACGAGCTGCTTCTCTCACCTCTGCAGGCACACAGACAGCGGTGTGGGACGAAATGGAGATGGATCCTGTGACTACTCGTTATTGTAACAATTTACCTGTGCCTGGGGGAGGGGGAGGGTTATGGTCCGAGGGTTAGTTTATCGGACCTTGCATGGTCCTTTACGGTTGTTGGCATACGTTATGCCGTAATGTATACACTGTTGTGTATGGATGGGGTGCTATGTTGGTGCCCGAATGTTACTGTAATGTAATTGTTTACTATGCAAAATGAATAAAAAGATTAAAAAAAAATAAAATAAAGTAACATCCACATGAATTGCCCAAAGCATCACACTGGCTCCCTCAGCTTGCCTTCTTACCACAGTGCATCCTGGTGCCATCTCTAACTCAGGTAAGCGACAAACATGCACCTAGCTATCCACATGATAAGAAAACATCAACATCAACTTCAGGGACAAAATGTTCACTTGCTGCCTAATATATCCCACCCACTTCCAGGTGCCATTGTAATGAGATAATCAATATTACTTACTTCACCTCTCAGTGGTAATAATGTTATGTCTGATCAGTGTATATTTAGCTCTGATAGCTACAGCCAGAAAATCTTGAAGTGTAAAAAGTAATTAAGGGCAGTGTGCTACAATCCTGAATGGTGTACAATAGTCCCCTTTTCATACCCTCACAAACATCCTCATTACATTTTCGAATAGTTATTTCAAGTATGCATTTAAAAGTATAGAAGGCAAATAGGCTTTCACTTTGCATTGGAATTTGCACTTTGAAGGCGAATTTTCCTTTGATCATGTGCAAGAAAAAAAAAAATGTTTTCCTTTCCCTTGCACGTGATTGGGCATTCTTTGCAAAGTGAATATTCCCACATTTACCAAGCTAAAGGGACATTCCCTTGCAGAGGGAACAGCCTATTTACCTTTAGTAAATGAACCCCAGTGCATGTATACATTTAGATGTATAAAGTATTATTTTGCAGGCATGCAGAGAATTGTAAAACCCCAGCAGCATTCTTTTGATAACTTCTGATGAGACTTTTCATTCAGACGTATGTTCTTTATGTAGGAGAAATGACAGGTGGCTCTTACCTCTCTTAGCTCTTCTGTGTACTATCACGGTCAGGCTGTAGTCGGCTGCCTGGGAGATGACAAACAGGTTCCTGACACTCCCCTCTCTTTCATGGCCAGCTTTCTCCACAGTGTTTATAGGAGACTGTAAGCCGTGATAAAACTTATTGACTAGGTGACCACAGGGACAGATTTGATTTACAGTAACTGTGTTCTGACTATTCAGTCATTCTAGCTTCATCCTGCTGTGATATACTTAGGAGGACAGTAGTCATGTTCTCTTTAAAATGGAACTTCATTTCCCGCCCCCCCAGATTTTCTTGCTGCAATCCACTACTCTGCTGCCACAACCCAGGCCAGCGCCACCATCTTCTTTTTGTTCTTCTCAGTCATTGGGAGCTGGCTGCATCTTCCAGGTTTAGGCAGCTGATCCCCTATGACTGCCCACCAGGCACTCTGTGTACGTGTTTCTGCGAGCATCTTAGGACGCCCATCACACTTCTGACCCCTTTCATTCACCTGCGGGTGCTTAAATGACCATCCGCCAGGGAAAGCATCAAAGAACAGGAAGTCACCAGCACACCGACTTCTTCAGGTTCCAAACGCCTTTATTGACGTCTTTTTATGAACCTATCACAAACAAAAAGTGCGACATTTTGGGACATATCAGGCTGCACAGGATCCATTCATCAGGCAATATTGCTTGATTCCTGCGCTGTCCCGAAACGTTGCTTCTCTCTTCAGTTTGTTCAGTTAAGCTTTGAAAATAAAAAAAGACAACAGCTGATTGGTTACTTTGGACAACGGCTCCAGATTATGTCTGCACCAGTTTTGATAAATTCCCCTCATTGACATGGATATCCCAGGAGGCTGCAGTAGCCTAGGTGAGAATGACAAAGGGCTCCATAGAAAACACAAGCAAAAATAGTCCTATTAACTGCACAGGTAGGTGTGTGTGTTAACATTTACTTTCAATTCCAAAAACATTTTACTGTCTCTCCACAAGAGTTTATAAATTCAATATTAGCATACTGTTTCTAGTATAATGTATCCATGTTTTTTGCTAATATGTTTGATTTGCCATTAATTTGTATTACATGTTGTGTCTCCTCTCTGAGTGCAGCTCCATTTTTTTTTTTATGTGTTCCCGCATTGATCCTGACGTCTGTCCTGAGGGTGGCTCCTTTCTCTCACTGTGCCCTAGGGAGCCACCCTGTACTGTAGGCTGTGGACTACATCCCAGTGTGATGACGCTAACCGCGCCCCCCCCTCACACGCAGCCCGATATGTAATAATTGCATAAAGACCCGCCTTTGCCTCCTCCCCATTGACAGTGTCCACAAATAAGCAGTGAGGTAATGCAATGCATGATGGCATATGTAGTCCTGATTACTGTGGACAGAAGTGCACTCCCCAGTAGGAGGTTCTTCTAAGCACCAAGGAGAGACAAGGATGCGGCTGTGAAGAGGTAAAATGTGTCTGAATTTATAACAGGAGAAGCATGTTTAATGGATTAGGATTAGGGCTACATTTGTCACCAGCAACTAGATTATGTGAAAAACAGCGAGGCTTTAGTACTACTTTAAATAAAATGATCCTAATATTAGAAAACATACAAGCAGTGGATACTTTACAACACACACAGGGACCATGGGGAACAAAAGTAGCCTCCAGCATGAATTCAGAGATGATTTGAGGATCTACAGCCGAGTGATACACAAATAAGCTACATTTCTGTTAACAGCTAAGGTGCTTGAATGCATTCTTAAGTTTTAACTCCTGAGTTTTGTGTCACTTTAAATTCCAGCTGCAGAATGAAAACCAGGCAACCACATATTTCTCCCAGAGCAGCTTCAAACGGCTGCCGGTAGCAAACACTGAAACAAAAACATTTCAGAGCATGAAAATAATATATTACTATATATCACTATTATTCGAAATAAATGCAAATATTATTTCCTGTCCTGTCCAACGTACTAAATGGCAGTGTAAAAGAGCCTAATGATTATACACATCACTCCGGCCAGGACATGTGGTCAAAAAGGATGGTTTTCTGTACTTTCATGGGCCAGTTTGGAGTTTTCACAATATGTAAAATGCAATTTGCCATCTTATAAACGTGAAAGAGAGCAACCAGCAAACTGCTCCCATATTATACTTTCTATTCCATGTTTAGTATTTGAAGAAATGCTACTTTCGCTTGCACTGAGTAGATACTCCGCAGGTAACTGCAGGCAGTGTGATTACTTGTGAACAGCCTGGGGACAGTGGCCATTGTATAGTACAGCACCTCCCTCCCGCAGATCGCATAAGTCTCATGGAGGAACTTGTGGGACTAGCCCCATCCCCAGTGTCCCTGGGGCCTGAAGGAGTTGAGAGTCTTCATACATTAAATTGTGTCAATATTTGTGTATGAATGGAGCACACGTGCAGTGATGACACTGCAGTTGTACTCCATTCAAAACTACAAGTCCCATATGGGTGACTGCAATTCCATTATTTAGAAATTACAAACTGAAGAGAGAAGCTGATTGGTTGCCATGGGCAACTGCTCCAGATTCTGTTTGCTCTAGGGGTGTTCAGATACCAAGTACCGTACTCAGTACAAGTACAGATACTTTTCCAGCTCCAAGACTAGACTAGAGAAAATTCTAAAGTTAGGAGGCAGCTGCCATTTGTAAGGAGCATACAGAGCTCCTGGGATTTGTGCCTCCCCATTTTAATGCACTATTTTTTTTATGTAGTGATGTACCGATACTTGTCCAAGTACTCACAGATACAAGTAGTGATACATTTTTGTTTGTCATGTGACAGTTTTTCTAAAACATTACAGACAATTTCTTGTTTTCGACTTCCTGGTTCTTTTTTGCACAAGCAATGTAAGGTGTCCAAGTGTTGCATCCTGGGAAGGTTACATCAGCAGATCTGTAATCTCATGAGATCTCAGGGAAAAGGTATTTGCCTCCCCTGAGATGATGTGCATGGTCACATGTCTTAGTCCTATGTGCCAGAGTTCCAGGGAGTAAAGGGGGAGCCAGTAATCCGCCCTTAGTTAACATGGCCACTGTCAGAAGACTGGGGAAGAAAAGAGAAATAAGGTATGCAAAGAATACAAAGCCGGCATTATCTAGAAGTATGTGTTTGTAGACTGTCATTACTAAACATTTATAAAAGGTGCATTTGTGTTGTTATTTTACAGATATGGGTAAAGTTCCTCTTTAAGGGGCTCTTAGATGGCTCCAAAACATCTTGTTGCCTTAAAAGGAGAACTATGGGGTTAGGGCTTTTCCCCATAGTTCTCCTTAGGGTAACGGGAGGACACAAACTAGAGTCCTCCCGTCACCCTAAGCTCAGTATCCCGCGAGCCACAGCTCGTGGTATACTGAGACGCCGCTGTACACCGCGATAAATGGCCTGGCCAGGAAGGGGGTCTAAACACCTGGTCTTGAAGTGGTTAATGCTTTTTTTTGCCATTTGAAAGTGTGGTGGATATCCACAGGTATTTCTTAGGACAAGACACCAGCAGTAAATGGAGCCAAATACACATCAATTAAACGTTACAGCTATGAAAGTTGTACTACCCGGACTGGACTTATTGCTGGCACCGCAAGTCTGAGCAGCAAACACAATATGCAGTTGGTTCATAGGCCGATTAGCAGCTTATGGCCTTGGGACTGAGCGAATGCCTGTCAATGTTGATGCTATATACAGTAGTTTGCAATGTTGTCCTTATCCAATATTATGCACCACTAGCTGCTTTTGCTTTCTGGATATGCTGGTACAGCCCTGCAATTGACAGATATGACTATTAGTCCACTACACAAGGTTTTCTTTTTTGGTACCATTGTTGGCACCTAATGACTTTTTGAAAACCTAACAGCACACAATTATACACATACAAGGATGGATACTGAAAAAGATAACGGTACAATAGGTGTTTATTTGGCTTTGAACACAAATGTGAGTCATTTAATCATGCAACCACCACATTTATTTAAATATTGCCACCAAAAAAAAAAAAATCAGTAAGAGTTTGAAGCAGTCACATAAAAATAGATTTTCAGCTTGCATGTACACGTTATATACAATGAATACCTTGTAGTATAAAAACAACAGCCCATTCATACAAACACATAAAAAAAAAAGAAAACCCACGCACACGCAGGGAATACAGTAGATTTTTGATTGTCAGAATGTAAATAATAAACATAAATAGGATAATAGATCATTAAGGGCGTAAACACTTTATGGCATAACCCCAGTGTATCAAATAATACAAGAAATGATAGAACTTTAGAAGCATCAAGTTTTGCAGTTTTGATCAAAGAAAGTATTCACATATTTGAATGAACAATACAGTAGATGTTTGCACAAATACTGAGCATTTTATATAGGTTTATGCATGTTATTATTCAAAGGGTAATTGGACACTCTGCTAAACACTATTGCACTGCATTTAAACTGACATTATAATCTAAGCTAATAACATTTCCCCAATGCATTTTCAGAAAAAGCAGTTCATATCTATGGAGCCCCCATACCTATCGTGCAAGAAAAAGGGAAGGATTTAAAGAAGAAGGGAATTGTTTCGCATGCCATGCTTGAGAAGATCTGGTAAAAGCTCGGCTCCCATTATTCAATAAATACAACTTTACATACCTAAAAATTGTAAGTCCAGTCAAAACGTTGGAAAGAGTTAGAACCTCTGTCAGATGAGTACTGCTATCTGAGGTCTGGTTGGGGCGATTTACATTCACTTCCTGTCCCAATGAAAAATGGGAAAAGGGACACAACACAGACAACAATATACAACTGGCAGGGGTTCAAGCCTTGTCCAATTCGACTTAAAACAGGGGGTGGATTATTGCTATCTTTGACCTTGCTGGAGACTTACCCCACATTTCCTGTCTGGTGAAAATATTGTCTCCTGGACAGGAAGTGAGCGAAAATCTTACCAAGGGAGCCCTAGCTAGCAACAAAACCTGCTAGACGTTTTGACTCGTCCACACCCTAGCCAAAAAAATAAAAAATTCCCTAGAGATACAATTGTAAGTAACCATTGTTAGCAATCAGCAGTGCCGTATCCAGGGCATGGCACATATAGGGCATTCCCTGGGCGCCACTTGAAAGTGGGAGAGCATAGCTCCGTTGATCAGTGAAAGTTTGCAGAGCCACAAAGACAGTGGACTGATGCAGTCATTATTCAACCCCCCCCCCCCCCCC